GCGGGGTTTGCTGAACAGGGCCGGTCCTAATACACACACTTCTGCTCTTTACACTTGTCTGACCAATCAGAGCTGAGTAAACCAATCACAACAGACTGAGCAATCTGACCAATCAGAGCAGAGTAGACCAATCACAACAGACTGAGTCATCTGACCAATCAGAGCAGAGTAGACCAATCACAACAGACTGGGTCATCTGACCAATCAGAGCAGAGTAAACCAATCACAACAGACTGAGCAATCTGACCAATCAGAGCAGAGTAGACCAATCACAGTAGAATAGACCAATCAGAGAAGAGCAGACCAATCACAACAGACTGAGTTGTATGACCAATCAGAGCAGAGTAGACCAATCACAACAGACTGAGTCATCTGACCAATCAGAGCATAGTAAACCAATCACAACAGACTGAGTCATCTGACCAATCAGAGCAGAGTAGACCAATCACAACAGACTGAGCAATCTGACCAATCAGAGCAGAGTAGACCAATCACAACAGACTGAGTCGTATGACCAATCAGATCCGAGTAAACCAATCACAACAGACTGAGTCATCTGACCAATCAGAGCAGAGTAAACCAATCACAACAGACTGAGCCGTATGACCAATCAGAGCAGAGTAGACCAATCACAACAGACTGAGCAATCTGACCAATCAGAGCAGAGTAGACCAATCACAACAGACTGAGTCATCTGACCAATCAGAGCCGAGTAGACCAATCACAACAGACTGAGCCGTATGACCAATCAGAGCAGAGCAGACCAATCACAACAGACTGAGCCGTATGACCAATCAGAGCAGAGCAGACCAATCACAACAGACTGAGTCATCTGACCAATCAGAGCAGAGTAGACCAATCACAACAGACTGAGCCGTATGACCAATCAGAGCAGAGCAGGCTCTCAGAAAGGCGGGGTTTAGAGACTGGAACTGTGTGAGACTGTGAGGTAGAGCTGATGCTGCAGATTAAAGTGTTGATTGGCTTTTATCACACATGTGATTAGTCTTGCACACTTACTTCCTGTCACACGAATGCGCTTTCAATTGGCCAACACCGCAAGTGTGTGTGTATCAGGACGTCTGCATGTGTGTATGCCCACAGTATCTCTGAGTCACGCCTGTGTTTGTGTGTTTCAGCGCAGTTCTTCATCACCGCCATGAGAATCGTAAGTGCGCTTGAACATGACGCCGCTTCATGCTGTATGTCACATGATTACGAAGCCTGACCCCCATCTTCGTCTACAGTGTCTCGATACCAAGGACATGGAGCAGGCGTACAGGGTCCACGAGCTGCTGGGAGTCGGGGAGAACTGGAGGCTCTTGGGAAATGATATCAATCGGAACATCTACTAGTGAGTGTAGTCCTGCAACTCATTAATGAAGAGCTGTCCCGATCAACTCTGTCCAATCAGAGACAAAATGATGTTTCAGTCTTCACAGCGTGTGTGTGTGTGTGTGTGTGTTTCAGCGCGCGCTTCTTCAGTCTGCTCTGCCTGATGGAGCATGTTGACATGGTGATGAAGTGGTACAGAGATCTGATTCCCTCGGTGAGTAACACACACTCATGCACTGCTTCATGTGAACGCACACAGGATGTGACATCATTGGTCTGGGTCTGGTTTAAGGTGTACTACCCCAGTTCTGGCGTCATGACGGATCTACTGCGAGCGCTGGATGCCGACAACAGATTGGACCTCATCCCGCAGATATGGAAAGGTGATTTATGGGCCAAGCACTGGTCACCTAATCTTCTTCTCCTGAGCCGATGGCGTCCCGTAGATCCGCTTGTGGGAACGTTTAGATAGAGGACCGTCTGAACATTAAAGGAGCAGTTTAATTTAAAAAAAATATAGCTGATCATTTACTCGCCCCCGTGTCATCCAAGATGTCCATGTCTTTCTTTCTTTAACCTTAAGAAATTAAGGTTTTTGATGAAAACGTTCCAGGATTTTCTCCATATAATGGACTTCAATGGGAACCAAACGGTCCAAAAGACAGTTTCAGTGCAAACTGTTCAAAGGGCTTTAAACGACTCCAGACGATGAATAAGGGTCTTATCAAGCGAAACGATCGCTCATTTAATAAATAAATAACAAAGTTTAAGTTTTATAAGCTCAAATGCTCGCCTTGCTCTGTTCTGTGATGCGTGTTCGTGACTCTCCTGTTCGAACTTGTTCATTAAAATGAACAAATCGAGAATGAGAACCGCTGTTGTCACCTCACTCGTCAGTCACAGTGCCACCTATTGCTCAAAAGTGATTAGATAGTATTACTAGCGTTTCTAGCAATTATGACTAAAATATTTTTAATGGTCTGATGCTTCCAGCTGATGAATGATTAAATCATTGACAGCCAATCAGAATGCATCCTGCTTTAAAGCGGCAGACGACACAACTGCAGCACTTCTAACAGTGTTGTGCGTCGGTGTGAACGCTCGTATAGTCACGCCTGTTGGTGTTACACTGGTCTCTGGAGAGGTGGAGTCTGTAGATTCAGCTGTATGGTGTTATTCTGACATCACATCGACTCAGTATCGATAATGTGTTGTTCACAGATATCAAAGCGCTGGGCCACGCCAACAGACAGAAGCTGGTGGAGGATCTGCTGGCACTGATGGCCAGAGAAACACACACTCCGCAGGTACAGCCGCATCACCAGCTCACACTCATCTATATGACGAATCTCAAAGACGCTTTACAGTTCATTTTAGAAATCACAGTTAGCTAAACATGTACTAAATTCAATAATTTATGCAAAAACCAATGTAGTAATTTAAGGCAGAAATAATGAGCTGATTGAAGTAATGAACACTTGTTTGTGAAATGATGATGACAGAAGTGTAGCACTGGAGACGGATGATCCTCATTGGTTGATGAACTCTTTCATGCATTCTCATTGGAAGCCAATCTCTCTTCTTCTTTCTTATTGGTTATTTGAGAAAGGCATGAATGAGTTTGCTTATGTAGTGTGTGAGTGTGGGTCTGTAGTAATGATGTGTGTGTGTGTGTGTGTCAGGTGCAGGACTCACTGGCCGACTGTGCGCTGGACATCAGGAGCATGTACAGCCCCGGTGAGCGAGGGAAGCTCCTGATGAGCTGGACGGCCGGTTCCCTCAGTGATGTCATCTCCGTCCTGCTCGCGGCGCACAGGACACCGGACGCCTGGTAACTGGACGCCGCTATACAAACATGCAGCAGTATATATCAGGGATAGGTCTTCCAAAATGAAGATTACTGTGTGTGAAATAAGATAATATTGTGATATGTGTGAATCGTGACATGAGTGTGTCGGGACTGGTAAAGTCATTTGTGAAAAATGGAGTTATAAACTGTTAATTTCGCTTCTCTTCATTCAGGGAAACACTGAAACTCTTCAAAACCCACAATAGAGTTCCCAGGTAAGATCCGCTCGTCATTCCTATGACTTTTCCACGCATTCCCCATGTTAAAATGACCAACTTTACAGCAGAAATAAACATGTTTACCGCCTGGTGCACAAAGTGGTGCTATATCGCTAATTTTGCCCTTCATGACGACTGTGAGGGGGTGTGTTTTTTTAATAACTCATCCATTAAATTATGTTAAACCTTAAAGTTGTGCATAATGAAGGGCGTGGCCACTTGAGTGACAGGTGGATTGCTCTGATGTCACTACTAGCCGTTTGTCTGCTAGCGTTAGCGTCACCGCCTCGTTGCACATTTTCGGTTATCCAAGATGGCTCCGCCCACTTTGGGCGTCAATAACGCTCTTCAGAAACACTACGGGTGACGTCACACACATACTCTACAGTCTCTGGTTCAGACTAACGTGTGTGGTGTTTGTGTGTCAGTTTGGATCTGCTGAACCGGTTCCTGACGTGTGTGAAGGAGAGCGGGGATGTGGATCAGGCCGTGGAGCTGGTGAAGATCTCCGCTGGCTTCTGTCTGCCCGACACACACACACTCGTCCACAGGATCCAGCAGGAGTTCGAGCTCTCGCCGGAGCACAGGTACGTCTCGCCCGCCTCACGCCTCAGGGGAATCGGGAGATTCAAGACTGATTGTGATTGGTCCTCTTGCAGGAGCGTCTTGGCGGATCTGGAGACTCAGAGCTTCAGCGGCGAGTGAACCCCACGGCGGCGGCAGAGCGCAGGATCATCTCTTCAGTTACTGTATACTTCACATGTTTGGCACACGCAAAATTGTAACTTGAGAGAACTCAACTCAATAAAAAAATCAAAAGTTTTAAATCTTTGTCTCTTTTCCTCACTGGGACTTTGAGTCCGGATTCTGGCTCTGAATGTATGACCTTGAACTAACCTCCAATAGTTCTGATTAAATAAAATTATTGTTCACAGTCTATGGATTAAACACAGGATTGCAGTTGTAGCAAATTAGCTCTAAAGAAATATTACAGTTTTTTCTGATTGCTTAAGCAAATTTTTTGTAACTATTGGCTATTTTTGCAAAACTCTACACACAAATAAGAAAAACTTTCACCTAATTGTCAAAACATTGTAGGTCTCTTGAAAAAGCAAACACAGCTAAAACTAAAACGTACAATACTAAAACGTTAATGTAAAAACAAAAAACATACAATTAATTAAGTTAAGGTAGAAATATTTTTATTATTTATTATTGCTACAATATTGTTGGTAAATAAGAGAACTTGGGCGTTTTCTTGGGCTGTCAGATAAAAATGCCAATATATATATATATATATATATATATATAAATCAATACAAATCATCGCACCCAACTTAAGGGAAGGTTTCTAGACAGATTGAGAAACCAACTGATACTAAAAAACTGTAGAAATGTTTTTATTTTCTGAAACTGTCAAAGCTGAAACTAGCTCAAAGAGTGCCATAGTTGAATCACCCGTAAACGAGCATCATACACAGAGACTGAGAGATGTATACTAAATTATTTAATTATTTTGAGATATGGGTGTTGACACTGTTTTTCCCTTGAGTTTTTGTTAAACAACAACACAGCAGCAGAATAATGGCACTCACTAGCTTCTCCAGTTTACACTGAGGATCCTTGAGTAGAGCTGAAAGCTGCTTCACTCCTGAATCTCTAAAGTCATTCTCACTCAGGTCCAGCTCTCTCAGATGAGACGGGTTTGATCAGCACAACCTCCATCACTGATGACAAGATCTCAACCTGTTAGTGTCTGAGAAACAGATGAACCCTTTCAGTCAGAATACAGTGAGAATCAGATCATCAGACAATCACACACAGACATTAAGATGTACAGTTATTACATTTACAACTCTTTATCAACTATCAGAGTATCCAAGCAAGTCTGTCTATGTGGTTTATTTCTTCCCATTTGCTATTAAATCGATACATATTATACATGTTCAGTCCTGTTTATATTTATTATACAGTTTTATACTTTAATACAACATTTACTCTGCCCGTATGAATATGGACACTTATGTAAAACAATTAACAAGCACATTTATTATGTGTGTGTGTTCAGTGGGAATCACACTCAGGATCTTAAGTGTTTAGCACTGTCACAGCTACACAAAATCAGGCACAATCACAGAGAAAAGAGTGTGTGTGGTGAAGAAGGAGTGTCAACATGCATGGATTTACAATGCTGGAATTAGAAACGTACCCCAGTTTCTCCAGTTTACACCGAGGATCTTCCAGTAGAGCTGAAAGCTGCTTTATTCCTAAATCTGTAATGACATTCCCTCTCAGGTCCAGCTCCCTCAGATGAGACGGGTTTGATCTCAGAGCTGAACTCAGATCAGCACAACCTCGGTTACTGACATAACAAGATCTCATCCTGTGAGTGTGAAGAAAACACATTAAATACTGATGTCTAGAAAATATGTATGGGAAAAACTACTATAACTATAGATGATAGTAATTCCAGTATTTACTGAAACACATATATGAAATAAAGCCAGTGACACTCACTCCAGTTTCTCCAGTTTACACTGAGGATGTTTCAGTAGATCTGAAAGCTGTTTTATTCCTGAATCTGTAATGTTATTCTCACTCAGGTCCAGCTCTCTCAGAGATGGGTTTGATCTCAGAGCTGAACTCAGATCAGTAAAACCTTCATCACTGATACGACAAGATCTCAACCTGTGAAACAAGGTCCAAGACACAGGGAAATCCAGGAGACAAGCAGAAGATCAAAACCAACACACAGGGAACCAGGATAACGCTCAGCATTGCAGTGACATGAACCCTCTGGGGTTGGCTATCGCGAAGTCCATTCTGAAACGTGTCCGAAAATGAACTGTAACTCATCTAATACTCAGTCACACAGGAATACAGGCATGAAGCTTGAATTCTCGTCTTTTAAATGAAGTAATTTATATTTTTTTTAAAAACAAAAACCAATATTCTCAGTTTATGTAATCTGTATGAAAAGATAGAGATGTCAGTCATTTTCTTTTTAGCTCATTAAGTGCTAGTGAGCATGCGTGCTATTCAAACGCAAATAATCTGAGGCAAGCCATGCAGACGTGTCAACGCCCACAACAGCTGGATAAAACACATCAAGTTATATACGAATCATTTACTTTACGTCGTCTTGCTGCGCTGTGCGCAATACTATCTAATAAGAAGTGCTGGTAGTTTCATTTCGAGGAGCAATGGATCAAGCTCACTTTTAAGAAAGTTATTTATTCTTAAGTGCTTTGTTCTAATGGGTTTTGTGCGATATGGAATAGAGTGCTGAAGTTACGACGTTACTCTATAGGCCGAAACGCGGAAGTGAGTTAGCATTTTAGCATTACGGTTCCCTCGCTCTAAAGTCGATGGGATTTTTGAATGGGTTTTTGCTAATTCGCCTGAAATAAGGTCTGTGGTGAACAAAGCCTCTAAATCAGAGGTCTCAAACTCGCGGCCCGGATATTTTGTGGCCCCCTACTTGATTTTAAAGTTTAATGTTAGTGCGGCCCGCCGTTGCGTTTGCCGCGTTTTTTTTATTATGAATATTTTTATCCCTTATGGGCTACCATATATAGTCTCGTGACAGCTTACCGTGGGTTTGTTGTCAATAGTTGTCATAGACAACCACGACGTACAAATATACTGCGCCTGGAAAAAATGAGCGCGTCGCTTCAATTATGAGCGCGCTCGGCGCTTGATGCGCGCCTACATTTGAAACGTACTTGAGCGTGCAAAATATGTGAGCGTGATATGTGAACAGCCACCAAATCAGGCCACAGCTACTGATAGCTCGCGAGCTACGTGTTGGATACCCCTGCTCTAAAACAATGTGAGAATAATCATTTTGATCTTGTAATATGTGTTGTGTCTGAACGCGTTCAATGAACGATAGTTAATGAACTCGTTCATATTTTGGGCGAACGTGAACTGAATGTAGCTTACTGTATTACTGCCTGATGAACGTTACAGTGAACTCGTTCATTCTAGTGTCTGTGAACCGAGGAGCGAGGAGGCGTCGTAAGATCATTTAAAAGGCTTTTATGAGGTCGGTGAGGATGGGAAAATCTTACATGTCTGTGCAAACTTTGCCCGTCGATAAAATTATTGTTATCTGTGGTTGTATGGGTTGTGGCAATAATAATAGCCTAATAATAAAAAAGAAGCTCGCAGCAACATACTGTATGGAAAAAAAATAACTATGAACTAGTTCATTTTTGAAATATGAACTGAACTAGTTCATTTTAAAATTTGTGAATTGAACTTTGAACTAGTTCATGTAATGAACTTGGTCCAACAGGTTGATAAGAAGGTTTGCTTTGATATGTGCAAAGTCAGTAATTTGCCTGAGACACTATACATGTGTAGAAAGAATTATTTGTATTTCAAAAGCAGTAATTGGTTTTCTAAGTATAATAAAAGGAAATGTGCCTTTTGGGGAAAAAAAATCAATATAATAGTGTTGTATAAAGAAAATAAAAAGCAAATATGACTATCATCACAACAAAGATGTTGTGTATAAGAAAAAGACAAAGAAAGTTTGTAAAACTGTCAACTGTCAGAAGGACAACTCATGAAGAACCAATCATGCACAGAAAGGAATGTTCAAATTCAGAGGAACAGTTCAGAAGAAACTTTAATAATAAAGATTGAGAAGATTGGATCAGTTGTGCTCCATTTTCGGAATACTTAAATACATTTTTTTTCTTTTTTGGAATGCTTGATGTGGCCCGGCCCAGCCTGACCCAGACTCTATCTCCAGCGGCCCCCAGTTAATTTGAGTTTGAGACCCCTGCTCTAAATATTTTCACGTTTTGATCTCTGACACAGAACACCACAGACCTAACCTGCGTGTGTTTTTTAAACTTTATTGTGTCTGCTTGTGTTTTTAAAAATCTTTATATAGGCTTCAAAATGTATAAATTTTGGATTAACTTGTAAAGATTATCTTGCTAGACAAAACGTGTAAGGGTCACAACCCTTTGTTGAACACAGATCTTATTTTTTGCGATTTTCCAAAAGTCTATGGGGAAAATGCATTGCTTTTCGACCGAGGGAACCCATGCGCCGCTAGCTTCCGAGTTGTCCTACAAAAGTGACGTCATCACTTTGGCACTCTATAGTGTCTGTACACCACAAAAAGACTGTTTAAATATGAATCGAGTGTATGTGTGTGAATGAATGTGTGTGAATGAATGAACGGTACAGACGTGTGCTATTGTTTACTACAGCTGTACAGTGCCGTTCATTCACTCTCGCACCTACATTACTAATTATGTTATTTTTACATGAACACATCTGTTAGTTTAGCTTCGACCAAAACATACTGCTATAGCCTACTGAGATGAGAAAAATAGACTGAAATATGTTGAAATAAAATGTCTTTGTATAAGCAACAAACTGCGAATGAACATTTATATGCTAATATATCATGAACACAATATGTGACAGACTAAATATGAATGTTTAGACAAGAGTTTGTTGATTAGTTTTAGATTTATTAGAATTGTAATTGTTGTTGTAATTGTAACTTTTTTATTGTGTTTAACCCTTTGGTGTCTAAGGTGTTTTTGGGGTCCTTGAGATGTTTTGGCATGCTGTGACATTTGTGCTTTTTTCAGTTGCTTATAAACATATTAATGGCACAGGTGAAATTACACTATATTTAGCACAAACAGCGCTATCATAATATGTGAGCAACATGTATGTACATGTTTGTATTTTTGAGAGAATATTGTTTATGCGTGGTAATTGAAAAAACAAAAAATGAAAGTTTCTGAAATAAGGCCACAAAACACACGAAATATGAGTCCACAAGACTTTTGACTAATGGAGTTTTTTCTTCACAATGATCTGAATGATCCTCCTAATCGTTCACATAAAACTGTGGATTGGGTTATATTGTGAAAAACATTTTTTTTTTTTTGCTAAGGCAATATGAGAATGGGCATGAACAGTCCCTGCCCCATCATGAAATAATAATAACAATTATTGATTTTCAAATATATGCCATTATTTTTGCCTATAATTTTATGTCATTTTTATTTTTTAAACAATCAAGTCCTGGGGCCTCATGTATGAAACTTTGCGTAGATTTCATCCTTAAAGTGTGCGTACGCACATAAGGCAGAATTTACGTATGCACAAAAGTTTTCAGATTTATAAAACTGTTCGTACGCCAGAACCTGCGCAGAATTCACTTTATAAATCCCAGTCAGCGGGAGATTATGCGCACGTGAGTCTCCTCCCCGAAATAACCATATATGGAGATTACAACGCCTAGTTTAAATATGCATATCCTCATCTGCATATCATTTGCATATGATTATTCATCCACGTGATACCAAGTTTAACGGTACAAGACGTTAGGAAAATATGAAATGTGGATGTGCCGTCACATTATTAAAAACATTTTTTTTAGTAACCTATATTCTTGCCTTGTTTTTAAATGAATAAATCAAATAGTGTTAAATACATTTCAGAGAAAGTGTTTCTTAATCTTTTCCACTGGCTAAATAGTATTTTTTAATTGATTTATATTTTAATGGAAACAGATAGACATGGTTGTGCATTATTTGCACGAAACGATTTTCTGATAATCTGTTATTATCATGATTAGCAATTATCTCTAGTTAAAACATTAAAATACAGCATGCCAGAAGAAAAGTGTTCAAAAGGAATGCATCCACAACAAAAAGGTCTATTTCTATTTATTGAATATATATATATATATATATATATATATATATATATATATATATATATATATATACATACAGTGGTGTGAATAAGTGTTTGCCCCCATGCTAAAGTTGCCTAAAAAGAGGAATAAAAAATTATCTTTTGGATATTGATCTTAATGCCTTAATTAGAAAAATTAAATTATCCCCACATCATCACACACCATTCACCACACCTAGAGATTGGCATGGTTTTACTTCAGTTAGCCTAATAGCTGGTTTGATTTGCATTGAAAGATGATCTTGAAATGTAATGAATTATTTATCTTATGGCAAGTACCCCATGCCAATCTCTAGGTGTGGTGGAAGGTGTGTGATGATGTGGGGATATTTTAATTCAGAAGGCCAAGGGAACTTTATCAGGATGCATATTATCCTGGATCCATGAAATAACTGGCTTTTAAAAATAAAAATCTGCCTGACTCTATGGGAATTTAACATAGGGGGGCAATGACTTATGCACCCTGTATTTTAAGGAAAAACATTTATTTATTTATGATACATTATTCATTCACAAAGAAAATTGGTGTTTTTGTGAAAATTGTTGAAAAATACTGTTTTTTGAAAATTGGACTTTTCCTCATTTTTCTAATTAAGGCATTAAGATCAATATCCAAAAGATGATTTTTTATTCCTCTTTTTAGGCAACTTTAGCATGGGGGCAAACACTTATTCACACCACTGTATATATATATATATATATATATATATATATATATATATTGTAATTTCTCAGTAATGATTTCATGTAGTTTAAGTGTCCATTAATGAGAATGGCATATTTAATCTAAATGTTTATATCAGAAGTAAAACAGTTTAAACCATTCTCTTATTTATTTAAACTGTTATTGTGAACATGCACTGTATTTATGATTTGGACTCTTAATGAAGATTTGCGGTTTTACTCCATCTGCCGTTAGATTATAGGCTATATGTGCGTCAGTTTCACCAAACGGCCCAACGTGCCTGCTGGCGCGGTCATTTAAGAAGGGATAGATGTTTGCTTCAAGTGATGAAAGGTTTGTGAAATTATATTTGTATTATCTTTCTGTAGATGTATAATTTTCTTTAGATTCTCTGTCTAATAGTGAGCAAAAAGACATTTAACTCCAGCTCACCATCGGTGTCGCCAAAACACACACTCTTCTAAAAGAGTGCGTACACATGGTCAAGAGCATCCTTACGGTGCGCACATATTTACGCCAAGTTTATTTTTTATAAATCCCGATATGCGCGTGGAAAAATGCGTACGCATATTTCTATGCCCATTTTGTGCGTACGCAACGTTTATACATCAGGCCCCTGGTGTCCACTACAGAGGTCATAGCATAACATATACATAACATAGCATAACATTTTTTTCCCCATCTGTTTCTTATGCTCTTAACAATGTGATTACATGAAGAAGAAAAAAAACGTTTGAAAAAAACGCTCTAGGCCTCAGGAGGGTATAAAGATAGGATAGGCTACAATAACAACATAGTTTCTGAGTGACGGTCCACCATCAGGCTAAATATGGGCTCTTTAAAGCTACACAAAATTTGTAAATGTTATTGAAATAAACAGACAGCCCACTTCCCTATTTTTCAGATTTTGGAAGACGTGTGATAAAAGTTGAAATTGTTGTCGTAAAGGCAAGAGCAACACACCGCTAATCCAAATGTAGACTGTCCCTCTGTGTCACCTAGCAGCAGCAGCGCTTCTGGTGTGCAAAGACACCGAAAACGCGATGATGCAGCTGCCACGCAACAGAAACGCCACGCTCGCGCCACACAGCCAGTGTGTCTCTGGCCTTAGACCCCAGAGGGTTAAACAAGACATTGTAATTAATGAGTGAACAGGGTTTAAATAGGCAAACATAAATGAGGTGGTAGTAATCAGAACATGAGTCCAGGCAGGGGGTTATGGGAAGTGTAGTTCATGATGGAAAAGCACTACAGGAGACAGTGCCCTCTGGTGGTTATCCTGGGCACTCCAACTGGTGGGTAACACTTACAGTCTTTACTAAAACCAATCCATCAAATAAAGCCAAAACCACTCACCCCAGTTTCTCCAGTTTACACTGATGATATGCCAGTAGAGCTGAAAGCTGCTTCACTCCTGGATCTCTAAAGTCATTCCCACTCAGGTCGAGCTCTCTCAGAGACGGGTTTGATCTCAGAGCTGAACTCAGAACAGCACAACCTTCATAACTGATACGACAAGATCTCAACCTGTGAGTGCGAAGAAAACACATTAAATACTGATATAGGAATGTTAATGTTAATTTCAACATTTATTAATGGATTATTAAAATCAAAAGTTGCATTTGTTAACATTAGTTAATGCACTGTGAACTAACATGAACAGCTGTATTTTTATTAACTAACGTTCACAAAGATTAACAAATTGTTACGTGTGTAGACACAGGAGAGGAAGATGGATGACAAACAGTGATTTATTGATGGAGACCGAGAGATCTCTAGAGCAGTGTTTCCCAACCCTGTTCCTGGCGGCACACCAACACTGCGTGTTTTCTTTGTCTCCCTAATCAAACACACCCGATTCAACCCATCAGCTCATTAACCCACCTGATTATGAGCTGATGGGTTGAATCAGGTGTGTTTGATAAGGGAGACAAAGAATACACGCATTGTTGGTGTGCCGCCAGGAACAGGGTTGGGAAAAACTGCTCTAGAGAACGAAAACAAGGTCGGACCAAGAGCTGGGGTGAGGCGAGGGCATGCAGTCATGTTCAGAATTGATGGCACCCCTGGTAAATATGATCAAAACTGGTTGTAAAAAAAAAAAAAATCTGCATTGTTTATCCTTTTGATCTGTCATTCAAAAAAATTAGCAAAATCCTAATTTTGCTCAATCCTAACATTTGAAAGTGGGGGGAAAATCACATTATAAAATGTTTTTCTCCAAAACACGTTGGCCACAATTATTGGCACCCCTAGAATATTTTACGAGTAAAATATCTCTGAAGTATATTCCCATTAATATTTACCTTTTTTAGCACACCAGGGTGACTAGGAACATGCAATTGTCCAGTCATGACTTCTTGTTTCACAGGAGTTTAAATATGAGGAAACACAGAGGCCAAATTCCCTGAATCATCCATCACAATGAATAAAACCAAAGAACATGGTTCTGATGTGCATCAAAAGATTGATGAGCTTCACAAAATAGAAAGTGGATGTAAGAAAATATCTAAAGAATTGAAAAATCCCCATTTTGACCATCAGGGCAAAGTTATAATCAACTAAAGATGTTATGATTCTGCCAGGAAGAGGACGTGTGTCTATTTTGCCTTAATGGACGTTGAGGATTAAAGTTTGAGTGTCCAAAGACTCTTCAAGGATCCCAGATGGAGAATTGCAGAGATTAGTTGAGTCTTGGGGTCAGAAAGCCTATTAAAAAATTATCTAACAACCTCTACATCACCACATGTTGTTTGAGAGGGTTTCAAGAAAAATCCTCCTCGCTCCTCCAAGAACTCCAGCATATTCAGTGGTCAGACACGACTGGATCTTCAAACGGCTCAGCATTCAGTGGTCAGATGAGACTAAAAAAAAGAGCTTTTGGCAGTAAGCACACTAGAAGGGTTTGGTGGATATGAGGATAAAAAGTACCCCATGTGTACAAATTTTATATACCGTTGGATCTTTAATGTTGGGGGCCTATTTTTCTGCAGAAGGTCCTGGACTTCTTATTCAGATACATGGCATTATGGATTCTATTAAATATCAACAGATAAAAAAATCAAAACCTGACGGCTTCTGCTAGAAATCTTATAATGGGCCGTGGTTAGGTCTTCCATCAGGACAAAGATCCAAAACAAACATCAAAATTAACACAAAAATGTGTTAGGCAGCACAAAATGAAGCTTCTGCCATGACTGTCCCAGACCCTGACCTGAACCCTATAGAAAATGAGTGGTCTGAACTGAAGAGATGAAGCACCAACATGGATCTGGGAATCTGCAGGATCTGGAGAGATTCTGTATGGAGGAATGGTCTCTGATCTCAGGTCAGGTGTTCTCCAAACTCTTATAGCAGAAAACTCAGAGCTGTTATCTTGGCAAAAGGAGATTGCAAAAAGGTATTTAATAAAAGAGTATGAATAATTGTGGCCAACATGTTTTGGAGAAAAACATTCATTTTATAATGTGATTTACCCCCACTTTCAATTATTTTACTTCAACAAAAGGTTAGGATTTTGCCAATTTTTTGAATGAAAGATCAAAAGGATAAACAATGTTGATTTATTTTTTGCTGCCATTTTTTATCATATTTACCAGAGGTGCCATCAATTTTGACCATGACTGTATATAGTGGCAGTGATGATGAGTACGTACAATGGATCCAGCTTCTCTATACCAACACCACCAGCGTCGTCCGATGCCCTACAGGTCTGTCCGAAACATTTCTGACTACTGTGGGCGTGAATCACGGATCCGCCCTCTCCCCGCTTCTTTTTATCCTTTGCATGGGTACTGCCACAGGGGATATCCAGGTGTCTCGCCCTGGTCACTTCTATTCGCCGACGACATCTTCCAAGCTGTTAAAAGCCGTTGGGGGCTTGAAAGTCAAGTGCAAGACTGGAATGACCGGTTACATTTACATGTAGTCATTTAGCAGACGCTTTTATCCAAAGCGACTTAAAACTGAGGACTAAACCAAGCGAGTCATCATGAAGAGGCAAAAACAACGCAAGAAGTGCTCAAAATACACAGTTCAGACATTGCTCAGGGTAGCATGAGCCAGATAAGCAAGGATTTAAAAGATTTAATTTATGGATTTATTTTAAAAAGACGCACACGGTTAGACGCGCACGGACTGCGCCTTGTTGATTTTTGTTAACATAAAAAAACGAGTATATGGAGTGTGGACCCCAGACCCCAGTCATGAATGAAGATGTGCGAAGGCGCATAAGCGTGGTGCCCATAATCCAAAAGATGCGTGAAGCCAGACTCCCCTGGAATGGCCATGTCATCAGAACCACCGATGAGACAACGGTGAAAACGGCCTTAATCTTATCTATTACCACCCGTACGACGACCGCATGGCCGGCTGAAGAAGCGGTGACTCGGTCGTCTGGTTGTAACCATTGCTCATGGTTAGTTTATGATAGTTGATACTAAATCAATCAATCAATCAATCATTTATTTATAGAGCATGTTTAAAGCACAACCGAGGTTGACCAAAGTGCTTTGTAAATAATAAATGACAAACAAAAATAAAACTAATATACATACCAGAAATGACAAAATAAGTAATCAATAGATTAAAGAGAAATCCAGGAAGACAAACTATAAAGTGTTAAAAGCCAAGGTGAATAAGTAAGTCTTAACTAATGTAAACTAATGAAACCTTATTGTGAAGTGTTAATTATACTTAATTATAACTAAAAACTACAGTAAAGCCAGTGACACTCACTCCAGTTTCTCCAGTTTACACTGAGGATCTGCCAGTAGATATGAAAGCTGCTTCACTCCTGAATCTCTAAAGTCATTCTCACTCAGGTCCAGCTCTCTCAGAGACGGGTTTGATCTCAGAGCTGAACTCAGAACAGCACAACCTCCATCACTGATACGACAAGATCTCAACCTGTGAGTGTGAAGAGAAGCATGTGTTAATGTCCTGTCAGAATCAAGATTCAATTCATTATTGGGCTCTAATCTACAATAATGAGAATCAGGCAAGATGGATTAAGTTCAACTGAAACAAACTGTTTATCTACTCATCATTAAACCATTTTTCTCTCTGTTGACTCTCTGTCGACATGTTGATTTGATAAAATGAACAATGTGAATAAATATATATGTACTTCATGAAATTAGGGGTCAGCAACCTTTTTATCATTAAGCGCCATTTTTATTTTTTTCTAGTTAATCGCTGGACACACATATTCTTCCTGCCTTATATCATACACGCATGTATAATTATATAAATATATTGTATAAAACTACCTTTAAAGGTTCAAGTGTAACAGAAAAATCAACAAAATCAACTTATTTTATTCTTATTCTATTTCTATTCTTATTTTATTAGTAACACAAGACTGACTATTTATTATTTCTGAAGCAATTTTTATATGAAATGTTGAAAGTTAAGTTTATTTCCAATATGGCCGTACTGAACCACACCACATGCACTATTGTTGTAGTTTGCGCATCTCCTGATTTGTGTGTGGAAAGTGAAGGACTTCATTTAACTAGTTAAAAATCTCCAACATTGATAATATCAGTAATTTATTTAGCTTTGAAAGCTACCGCAGATCACACTGTTCTTCTCTCGATCACGCAGAGTGATAGCCTGACTTCGTCATACTCATTTTGCTATCGGAAGATGAGTCTGAAACCCATCCGTCTGGCTTTGATTATGAGGCGTGTCTTAACCGAACCAGGAAAAACAACAACTCTGCACTCAATTGGATAGTCGGTAAACCTACAACCAATCAGAGCAATGCAGTAGGTCAACTACTTTGCATACAGTTGTCAAATACAGAACTTAGCCTAGCTTTACTTATTTTAGAAGTTAAATAACAAGTGTTGCTTCTTTTACTTACTTCTCCATGAGTGCCACCAAAGGAGAAACCACAACGACCACAGGCTTTTCATTACGTCCCATCTTCTTAGCGACCGTCAGAGCCAGCTGATAAGTTACACTTTTCCCGAATCATGTAGGAAGGACGGCAAAAATATCTTTCCGATCGACAAATGCCTTGATTGCAGTTCTCTGTTTATCTATTAAAATGAATGCGCTGTCGATTTATTTCACAACAGACGCGACGGCTGAATCTATACATCTCAATTCTCCAGCTGCAGTCATCTCTCTTTGATAACGTGATGATTACGTCCCTGCAGATCATCTGTCCATCATCGTATAAAGCCCGCCCTGGCAATTTGATTGGCCCGATGATTTCTGAACCGATCATAATTACTCCTCAATGGATCGAGTCCAGACCGAACTTCCCGACCAAAAAATTATGTGGGCGGAGTTCGGGCTGGCATCCAGGCTAGCAGAGTGACTGAGCGAATCAGACGTGTGTGATTCCCACTGTAAGTACAGCTCTGCAACCTCATGCAGGGTACCCCCAGGGTCCTCCAACTTAAATTCAAGGCTTTTTAAGACTTTTTAAATACCATTTCAAATGAAATTCAATGCCAATTTCATACCCATTCCGACAGAAGTAAGGGGAAAATGTCAAATCTGTATACATTTCAAACCCTAGAAAAAGAGGCTACTTGAATTAAATAAAACATTTTACTTAAATTATCGGTCATATTTAATACATACATGCATTGTAGTGCGCATGTGTGTAGGCCAGTGTTAATTTTGGCAGCCATTTTTTTATTTAGTCTTAGTCTTCAAACGAAAATGCTTATCTGTCTTAATCCCATTTGAGTCATCCTGTTTTTTACAGTTGTAGTTGACGAAAAGTCTTAGCATTTTTTTGTCAACTATTAGTCAAACTGCAGTTACTATACTTTTGGAAGTTATTTATTTTATATGTAGTATTTAGACAGAAAATGTCATAATTATTGTCTCAAGGCCAATTCAATTAAGCATATGATATGATAAATTATTGAGACTGCACTCTTTAGCAGTAGCACGTGTGCAGTTCTACATAATTATCCCTTTTCCTAAGTTCAGTGGTTCTCCAATGTTTTAGAGTGCCGTACCCCCTGTAGCCCTCTCTCTTACACTTATACTGCACTCACACCATTTCCATTAAGGGACAATCTTTGCCCCCTTTAATCAATTTTTCCGTTTCATTTTATTTACCTTTATAATACCCTTAAAAAAATGCTTTAAATAAAACAATGTTCATTAAAGGATTAGTTCACTTTTGAAAAAACTTTTGCTGATAATTTACTCACCCCCATGTCATCCAAGATGTCCATGTCTTTCTTTCCTCAGTCGAAAAGAAATTAAGGTTTTTGATGAAAACATTCCAGGATTTTCTCCATATAATGGACTTCAATGGGAACCAAACGGTCCGAGGTCCAAATAACAGTTTCAGATGCAGCTTCAAATGTCTTTAAACGACTTTAAACGATGAATAAGGGTCTTATCATTCGAAACGATCGGTTATTTCAAAACTTATTACAAAAATGTAACTTTTCTAAGGACAAATGCTAGCCTTGCTCTATTCTGTGAGGTGCGTTTGCAACGTCACGTAATACGTAATTACGTTCAAAAGGTCACGGGCGACGTTGCCGGAAGTACAGAATCAAAATCGTCCAACATCATTGTTTTACCTTACAAATTCCTTTTTTGTAAACGGCGTTTGAGTTAGTTTGCACGTTCAACCTATGCGTTCAACTTGTAAACACTGACTCTGTACTTCTGGCTACGTCGCCCGTGACCTTTTGAACGTAATTACTAGGGGTGTAACGATTCACTCGTTTTCTCGATGCATCGATTATAAATCCTGGCGATGCATATGCATCGATCCTGAAACATGTATTTTGAATCGTGAATCGTTTATTTACGTGAATAATCGATTTAAAAGGCTAAGAATCGAATTAATCACGATTTTATAGCGATTCAGTGGTTTAAAATATAGACAACCTGAAAGTGTTCCTGGTACAAGCTGCCTCACGCATTGGCCATCATACGACATCCGCATTTGATTGGTTTCACGCGCTCACACACCCCTGATTTCTCACACTGAAGCCCGGTCGGTCAAATGCCTGAAAGATGAGTTTATCTTTCTACCTGTTGAGCTACTCATGTCGTGATCTGCTTGTATTACCGCAAATTAGTTAAAATCTCCCGGAATCTAGAGCGAGCGTGCATACGAGACAGAGGTTGTGCTCCAAACCGCGTATCGCGCGTTCACACACGGCTGCACGCACTCGGCAGAGAGGGAAAGCGAGCGAGAGACCACCTTGCGTGTACGGAGAGAGTCCATGTAATAAATGAATGAAAGCGTTTTATTTCATAGTGCCCACGCAATGGCATGGCAGCTTTATCAATGGCTTGAGCGGTTTGCCTCAAAACTATTGCTTTCTCGACAGAGAGCTCAGCTGGAGATCGAGCTCAAACATGGACTGCTCAAAAATCTGTAGTTAACGTTATGAAAGCATGAGAGCTATGGGACAGAGCGCGAGCAAAATCCAGTGAAAAGATGATAACGAGTGCACTGAGAGGACGCAAAATGAAACTAATGAAAACGTCTCCATTAATTTGTCATGTAGTCATTTAATGCACTACTTTAAAAGCCTTTTTCAAAATATTTGCTACTTGTAAATGCTAATTTGTAGGCCATTGAATTTTTTTTATAATAATATATTCATTAAAATTAAAAACAAACATGAACTAACATTAACAATGGACAAAATCCCCACTATCTGATCCCCGAAGGCCGCTGTAGGCTAATTCAAACCCAGACAAAGATCGGTGAAGCATTGAAATAATACTATAATGCATATAAAAAATTAAGAATCGAATTAATCGAATCGCATCGAATTTGGATGTGAATCGCATCGAATCGAATCGTTCTGAATTTGCACAAATCGTTCATGAATCGAATCGAAAACCTATGAATCGTGAATCGAATCGATTCGCTGTCTACCCAAAGATTCACAGCCCTAGTAATTACGTATTACGTGACGTTACAAACGCGCCTCACAGAATAGAGCAATGCTAGCATTTGTCCTTAGAAAAGTTAAATTTTTGGAATAAGTTTTTGCAATAACCAATCGTTTTGCTTGATAAGACCCTTATTCATCGTCTGGCGTCGTTTAAAGACATTTGAAGCTGCATCTGAAACTGTTATTAACCGTCTTTTGGACCTTGAACCGTTTGGTTCCCATTGAAGTCCATTATATGGAGAAAAATCCTGGAATGTTTTCATCAAAAACCTTAATTTCTTTTCGACTGAGGAAAAAAAAAAAAGAAAGACATGGACATGGACATCTTGGATGACATGGGGGCGAGTAAATTATCAGCAAAAGTTTTTCAAAAGTGAACTAATCCTTTAAATATGCAACGTTATAAAACATAAAAATCGCCATTAGGTGGCAGTAACTCGCTATATTTATGAGTGAGTATTTGAGTCATTCATTCATTGAATCCCACGATTCGTTCAAAGCCACATATTTCGTATCGTATATAGAGCATTCCTTTAAATTGAGTACATTTCTTAATGTTACCATTTATCTTTTCTTTTTTACTGTTGTATAAAATCAATGTCACATTTGAAATCGTGTGAATATTCGGGAAACATTGGATTCTTGCTCGTATGAACACTGCTGGATATCAGTCTGCATTTTGATCGCAGATTTAGTCGCACAAACAGCGCAAGCGGGTCGTTACAGAACACAGACAAGACAGAATGACACTTTAATTTAAGCAGAAAATCTTAAAGATCGCTGAACTCCAGCTTGTCTGTGTTTTCAGATAATCCTGGCGCATGGTTGCCAGATATCGAAAAGACCGGGTAGAAAATATGTTCTTTTAACAGAAAAGCTCTTATTTGGGGATTAAATTCTGTCATTTGTGGCCATAGCGGATTAAACTAGGCTAGGTACTATCTTGTTCTGTACCTCGCTTGCCTAGTAACCATAGTAACGAATGCGCACGCGATCGCTTTTTCTGCCATAACGTGGAGCGCGAGGGGCACTCAACGCTGCATACATTTTGAATTAGCCTACATTAGTAAAAGTAAATTTTGTTACGGTATGAACTTAATCCTAGGAAAGGTAAAAAATATATACAAGACCTTTGTAACGTAATCCAAAACTTTGTATACAAAATTCAAGGCTTTCAAGGCCTTAATTTGAGATGATCAAATTCAAGACTTTTTCAAGGCTTTTAAGACCCGCGGGTACCCTGTCATGATGTGCAGGGTCGTGGAAACGGTTAGTCAGTGTGTCCCAATCAAGGCCGGACTTACCATTGGGCTTGACTGGGCTCAAGCCCATGGGCCCCGCCCAATAGGGGGCCCCGCCGGTTTACGTTTGATTTTTTCAATAATTTATCAGTCATTTAATTTTTCATTTAAAGTTTGTTGATTGGTCTTGCATTGTTACCTGGCCCTGTAGTGTAGGCTACGTACTGACGTCAGGTTATTACGTAGCCGACAGGTTTTTATTTGGTTTAAAGCCGTTGGATGGAAACACACTTTCACCAGGTTTATTCACATGAGGTTTTTTTGGGGTTTTTTACCGAACTTCAGATAATTGACAAGTGGATGGAAACTTGGCTTATGAAACAAGTGTATTTGATTGAGAACAATTGTTTTTATAATTCAGATTAATTAAACATCTTTAATATACTACAGCAATTAACATAAATTATGTTATTTTGTTAAGTTGTTTGTTCAGAATCGTGATCACTATTTTTATTCTCAAATTATCCAGAATTGTGTAGCTCTAATAGCTAAATAGCTTGTGTATACGTATCATTTAGTTGTATTTAAAGTAATGTATAGAAGGTAGGGCCCGAAAGTGACTCAAGCCCAGAGGCCCCCACCACCCTAAGTCCTGCCCTGGTCCCAATCCTGGTCCTGGTCCCCTAACACTGCACACTCTCTTCTTCTCTAATCTGACACACTCATCTGAGCCCTTGAAGTCTTTACTGATGAGCTGATCAGGTGTGTTTGATTTATGAGACAACAAAACTTGTCTTTTCACAAACTTTTCTCAAACCCAGACTGTTAAATAGTATTCATAGCTCACAGGTTAATAAAAAAGGATGTGTGTATATGAGAAAAAATGAACTCTAAATAAGGACAGTTCTCTCGCTATTACTCATACGTCAGTGATTAACCCTCTGTGCGCTGATATTGGCATGCGTGTCACAGGTTGCCGACCCCGAGCTCTAAATAAACAAATTATTGATTCCATCTAGAATAGACAGTCTCTTCTTAATTACTCAACTCACCCCAGTTTCTCCAGTTTACACTGAGGATGTTTCAGTAGAGGTGAAATCATCTTTAGTTCTGAATCTGTGATGTCATTCCCACTCAGGTCCAGCTCTCTCAGAAGAGACGGGTTTGATATCAGAGCTGAACTCAGATCAGCACAACCTTCATCACTGATATAACAAGATCTCAACCTGTGTGTGTGTGAAGAAAGGGGGAAAATGTTGTTCCATCTTCATGTGTATCTGACAAAAAAGAAGCTTTCAAAGAAAATAACCTAATTGTTGAGCATAACTAACAGGTTCACTTGGTCTTCGTTCAAACAAATATATAAAATAAAGGCAGTGACACTCACCCCAGTTTCTCCAGTTTACACTGAGGATCCACCAGTACAGCTGAAAGCTGCTTCACTCCTGAATCTATAAAGTAATTCTCACTCAGGTCCAGCTCTCTCAGAGACGGGTTTGATCTCAAAGCTGAACTCAGAACAATATAACCTCTGTCACTGTTATGACAAGATCTCAACCTGTGTTCAATGAATAAAGTGATAAGACAATGACAAACACACTCAGAGAGCAAAGTGTGTGTATGATTAGACTGCCAAGATATAATAATGTACACAATATAGTATCTACATTCAAGTTCGTAACACCGGTATTAGTACTAGCTGGACGCTAGCTGCTGCTATGACTTACATTTCAACTAAAACTTGAAACTAAACTGAAAACATTAAGCAAATACAATATTTAATTGATATTATTAAAGAACTTATTCAACCAAAAAATAAAGTTTAAGGCTATTAGTTTAAGTTTACGTTATTCGTTTTGTTCATATTACACTTTTATTGTTAGTTTGAATTAATTTGACAGACAGCATTTGCTGATGTTAATCAACCTAGCGCCATTCAGAGCTGCCAACTCTCACAAGTTCACCATGAGACACACGTAATTGACACTTAGCAAGCAGGTTAGTTAAGCTCTCAGATTCTGTCAATTTTATTACGCAATTCAAACAATAAATACCGTTTTGGCGCTTGTACATGTTACACCACAGATCCCTAGTGGACGTGAACCGATCATCTCTACTAGCTGATTGAAAAAGAACACGAACTCTGTTGAAAGATACAGTATGCTACAACTTACCAAAATGTATTCCTCATGCATAATATTGACCAATCGTTTTTTGAACTCTTCCCTGAACTGAAATGTAGTAGTGGGCTGTATTTCCAAACGACTGACATCAGGTTCAAGTACACACACAAGCCACGTGAGTTACTCGTGTATTGCAGTTTGGCTGGTGGTTATGTAGCCTGCCCGCATACCGCCTCCCATGGCCGAAACTGGTATTACAACACCTGCCGGGCCGTGGCTAGTAATTTAGCATGCTAATTCAGGTTAATATCTCGGCAGCACTATAACTTGTAATTTTTTTAATGACATCATTAACCTCATTTCTTCTCATTCTTTTGATGCAAGTAGCTCATTTTTTGGATATTTTAACCACAATTTTTACAGATGGCACCTTTAAGAGCATAAGAAACAGATGGGGGAAAAAATGATATTTTATTCATGTTATGCCATCACCTCTGTAGTGGACACCAGGACTCGATTGTTGTAAAAAATAAAAATGACATGAAATTATATAGGCAAAAATAATGGCAATATTTGGTAACAATAATTATTATTATTATTATTTGTTTAAATTACATCTGAATTTATTTCAAAACCTAGACTTTCAAACATCAAAATGTAATTTTTTTATTATTATGTATTCGTGTACAAAATGACATATAAACATTGTTTCCTATTGTTTTTTTGCCTGGAACTGCTTCCAATACGCTTGCGTGTCGCGTGAAAAATAGTCGCGGTTCTATTTTTAGCATGCGCGCGTCACGCAGGCAGTGTGCAAGCTCTAACCTGTTAACATGGGAGCCGAAATAAAAACGGACACACCACGCAGCTGAGACGCTTACGCCACGCAGTCAGTGTGTCTCCGGCCTTAGAAATCCAGTTATACTATTTTCCCCTGAGACGTGAGAAATCCGAAAATCGTAATTTTCCGTCACTGTAGGAGGAAGTGTAAGAGGGGGGGATTTCTGTAAAGACTACAAGCACTAGATCCCACCCTTTCATACCCGCCCATAGGGGGTTGGGCCTAATGCGCTAACAGACCAATCACAGATCAGTGCCAGTGCGTTTGATTTCACCGCAGAAACTTTTTGAAAATATGGGTGAAGGTACTGAAGACACAGAGGGATGCATTGTGGGTAGGGTTGGGTACCGAAACGCGGTGCCAATAGGGAACCAGTTCTGATGTAAACGGTAATAACCAGACCGAATAAGAACGAACATTTCGGTGCCTGAGTCTCTGTGTCATGAGGCGCACCATGTAAGGTCTCTCGCTCTCTCCCTCTCCCTCGTGCAGACGATGACTGTGACAGATAGATTGTGTAATTATATTATACAATATGCACAAAACCACTCACCCCAGTTTCTCCAGTTTACACTGAGGATGTTCAAGTAGATCTGAAATCTGCATCACTCCTGATTCTGTAAGGATGTTCCCACTCAGGTCCAGTTCTCTCAGATGAGACGGGTTTGATCTCAGAGCTGAACTCAGAACAACACAACCTCCATCACTGATACGACAAGATCTCAACCTGTGAGTGTGAGAAATACAAATATATATGAAGTCAGAATACAATGAGAACCAGATAATTATTAAAAACAATTATTGAAAGGTAATTCAATTTCAGACCTATGAATTATGAAGATATTAAAACAGCTGTTTCAAACATTAGTTATAATTTATTGTTAATGTGTTAATGCTATCATTTTTTTAAATGTCACATATATATACATATATATATATACATATATATATATATATATGTATATATATATGAAGAGTTCAGATGCAAAAGCCTCTAAATGCCATTTGAAATTTTCTTCTTTAATGATGACTTTTATCAAACTTGTACATTTAAGTTCAGTAATTTCACTTAAATAACAATTAATAGGTAATTATCATTGCCATTTAAGTGAAATCACTGAACTTAAATATACAAGCTTGATAAAAATCATCATTAAAGAAGAAAATTTCAAATGGCATTTAGAGGCTTTTGCATCTGAACTCTTCATATATATATACATATACATATATACATATACATATACATATATATATATATATATATATATACAGTGTTGGGGAGTAGTTAACTACAAGTGGCGACGCTACTAACTTAACTACATTTTTCAGTAGCTTGGCAGTAGCTCAGTTGCTTTTTAAACAGTGTAGCTTTTCCAGTAGCTAACTACTTTTTGCAGCAAGTAACGGTGTAGCGCGAGCAAAAGCTACATTGCATTTTGTCGAGCCAGCGCGAATCAGCGCGATGCAATGATATTCTTCTTCTTGTTAGATTACAAACTAATTTTTTGCCATTACCGCCACCTGTTGTTTAATCACGCATCTTCTAACGGTTCACTGACGTACAGAAGTGTGTTGACACACCCCACGATGGAGCAAGACATGCCGGCAGATTTGGAGGATGGAGAAACAACGTTAATTTAATTACCCATGGCCTTATTTGTCCAAGTTCATGTCACTCAAAGAATCGACAAGTAAAGGTTACACTTTTGTATGCAATCTTTGCAAACCAAAGTTTAAAACGCCGTCTACGTCGAAGACCCCAAGCACATATTTAAGGATGCACATACAGGTCAGTAATGGCCATTTTAAATGTATTAATTATCCTGCTTTATTGCTCTCTGTTACATCAAATTTCTATTTCTGATTTAATTACAATGACCCGTCATGATCTGTCCACCAGTTTTGCACTTTTGACAAACAGTCTGAGGTATTTGAGTGTTGTGTGTAATAAAACAATACTCTTTTCGAAATCATAATTGTATATTGCATTGTTTTAAACACTAAATATTTTACTTAAAACCTTACTCAGACACTTATTCAGTTAATTATATTTATAATATGCGTTGTTAAAAAAAAAGCAAAAGTAGTTTCAATGTAGCTAGCTACTTTTTGATAGTAACTTGTAGTGTAGCTAACTACTTTTCCAAAAGGGTAGCTTGACTGTAGTTTAACTAGTTTTACTTATGAGTAGCTTGTCAAACTACAGTTTCAGAGTAGCTTCCCCAACACTGTATATATATATATATATATATATATATATATATATATATATATATATATAAACACTTCATGGACTGCAGCAAATTTTTGGAAAGTTTCATGAATTTTCCCCTTTAAACCAGTATATCATTTCATAGTAGTATCATCCCTTATTATAACTTGTATTACAGTATACCAAGCTTAGAGACCCACTCACAACTGTCCTAACACTTTTTCCTCTTCTGTTGTTTTTCACAGCAAAATATAAACAGCAAAAGTATTCCTTGTGAAAAACTCATGACCAAAAACAATCCCACTGACCCCAGTTTCTCCAGTTTACACTGAGGATGTTTCAGTAGATCTGAAAGCAGTTTCACTTCTGATTCTGTAAGGATGTTCTCACTCAGATCCAGCTCTCTCAGATTAGACAGGTTTGATCTCAAAGCTGATCTCAGAACAGCACAACCTCCATCACTGATATCACAAGATCTCAACCTGTGAATGCGAAGAAAACACGTTTAACACAAATGTCTACAAAAGTATAAAAGAAAAATTACTTGGAAACAAGAACTCAGATCAGCACAAGCTTTGGCACCATTTCCACACTGATATATCCTGCATTCGGGCATTCATTAATTTATATGGCTTTAGACAGTTCTTCAGACTCATATGTATTTACTCACTCATGTTCTCCAGATGTTTTGAGCACTGGTCGAGGCTTCAGTTCTTCTGATGGATGTGATATAATCACAGTCATCAGAGCTGAGAACTCATCAGGAGAGAGTCCGAGTCCAGATTTCAGCTGTGTCTTCATCTCCTGGATTAGATAACGGTCATCCAGCTCTTTCAAACAGTCCAACAGGAGACTGCTGTCCACTGCCGTTTCTGAAGAGGACTTCATCATCATAGTTTTGATGTGTTGAATTATTTCTTGACTGGATGAAGAGTTGCTGCTTCTCTGTGTCAGGAGCTCTTTCATCTGAGTGGACTCCAGTCTGAAACCCAGTAAGAAGCAGAAGAAGAGCTCCATCTGTTTCTGTAAAGCGATGTTCATCACGTTCTGGAGTGAATCGTAGTCTGTGAAGCTCTTCTCTCCGAGCTCAAGTTTCAGACTGGAGAGATCTCTGAGCCGGAGTGGGTTTCCTCCATTAATGACATCAGTCGCATACACAGCTGCCAGAAACTCCTGCGTCCGGTGATTCACGAAACAGAAGGACGATGACTGACGCTTGCTTTTGTGTTCTTTTATGATCAATATGTTAGTCAGAAAACTTTTATCTCCAATTCCACATTTCTTCAAATCTTCACCACTGAAGAGAGAGTTGGCCTTTACCAGCAGGTCAAACGCTATATTCCCCAGAGCGATGATGGTGTCTCTTCTCTCTGGATTCAGTTCAGTCTGAGCTAACAGGAGTTTGCTGTACATCTGAGTGAGAGTCTCTGAACCCGTCTCGTCTGTTCTGAACATTTCCTCTGGCATCGCTGCGATGATTCTGCAGTAATCTGGTAAATAACACATGCTGTTGATGTGTGGAGATTTCTGGATGTGACTGATGACTTTATTGGCCATACTCTGGTCACTAATGCTCTTTCTGAAATACTCCTCCTTCTGTTGATCATTAAAGCCCTGGATCTCTGTCACACGATCAATAAACCGTGCAGGAATCTGATTGGCTGCTGCCGGTCTGCTGGTGATCCAGATATGAGCGTTTGGAAGCAGATTTCCCTGGATGAGGTTTGTCAGTAGATCAGAGACTGAGGCTTTCATGATTGGATCTTTAATCTTCTTAGTGGTTTGGAAATCCAGAGGAAGTTTAAACTCGTTCAGTCCATCAAAGATCAGCATGACCCTAGACTCAGGATTCAGATGTCCGGTGTTTTCACAGCATCGCTGCAGAAGCTCCATGAAGCTGACCTCCTTCCCTGTCTCTCTGATGATGTTCAGCTTCTGGAAAGGGATTGGAAATATATATTCGATGTCATGGTTTAATTTCTCTTCAGCCCAGTCCAGGATGAACTTCTGCACAGCCACAGTTTTGCCAATGCCAGCTTCGCCCTTCATCAAAACGGTCCTGATTTTCTGTCTTTGGAAAATGCTTATGATTTCTTTATTATTATTTATGTAAGTATCTGGTTCCTCTGTGATGTGCCGCTCAATGAAGACATCATTCAGTAGTTGTCTTCGACCGGGTGATATTTCTTCATTCAGATACCGAAACTCCTCCATCAGTCTCAGTTTGAACGTCTCTGATACTACAGACACACAAACACAGTTCAGCTACTTTCACTTCACATGCTTTTCTTTTATCACATTTACATCAATAACATTATCTTGTCTATATTAAGAACTTTTTTCCAGCCCTGAACTGGACGTCACTTCTGTGCTACTAGAGTTTGGATAAAAGGCTGGAACAGATGAGAGCAGCCAACATATTTAAAGCAATGATCCATGTTCAGAACTGTATTACTTACTAAACACATTTAGAAAAATGACAACAACAAAAAAGCCATGCAATAAAAGTCAAAGTGGTTTGATATTGTTTGGTTCTCAGTGCTCTCAAAAATATCATCTTTTGTGTTCAACAGAAGAAAGTCGTACAGGTTTTGTATGGGTGAGTAAATAAAGCCAAGCTTTTAAGCTCTACTGACAGTATTTGTGGCATAATGTGAAGCAACATGACTTAAACATCCTAGGCTATGTTTCAATATAGAGCCATAGACCTTGTCTGTGCAAAGTGGTATCCATTTTATCAACTAATGAGAGGCAATCTACCAAAGTAGGAGTGAACTAACCCACTGGAATTGTGTCTGTAACATAAGTTTTTTCACCTAGAATGGTAGTCTCACCCCAAAAATGAAAAAGAGGCACATACACTGAGGAGATTGATGAGGTCCTGGAGACCAACGACCCTCGGAGGCAGTGATAGGGATCGAGTGACCCTCTCCTTTAAAGTCAGTCTCTGCAACACACACAGATACAGCTGTAACTGTTGTTGTTATTCACAGACCAACACAATTGAAGATGGGCAGGAATAATATATGACTCACCAGAAATCAAACCGCCCTTTCCCTAGAGGAAACATTGAACAATAATTAAACACCAAAATAACAAGTTACCGTTAACTCATTCTCATAAAGCTTCTCATGTATTTTTCCTTCAGCTGATATCCACAAGTTTCCTACGCCCCATGAGGCCTTGCGTCAAAAGTGGGCGTGTCTTCCGGTTCGAAGTAAACAAAGGGCGATTTGACATGCTTGACACTCGTTCAATCAACAGTTGACAGTCATTCAAGTTATAGCGATCCAAACTAGCTAACGATGTGGGAACACAACCTCAACGAAATTAAAAAGGGTGAAATAACAGTACCTTTACCCTCCGCAGTAGTTGGCTGGGAGTATTATAATAACATTATTAATAATCAATACTCATCAAGGCATGGTGACAGACAGATGTGTGAGCTGACAAACAATTAAAATAAAAAATACACACTTAGTCATTGTGCTTTGGAGTTTATTCAAAATTATAAATGAATGTGCTACTAATATATTTGGTATTCTGTCAACACAGGCTTTGGTCCTGAGTTTAGGTGTAACATCAGTAGCGAACAGCCAATCACATGCTGATAGAGTTTATAGAATATTAAGAATTTAAACAAATGTACACAGGAAGATTCGTCGTCTTTTGGGAGGTGATGGAAACTACAGTCGTTGGCAGGATCACTCTGATTTCGTTTTCAGCTTATGTTCAAAACAATCCCGTTTAAGCCACTGAATTAGTTTAGTCCGGTTATACATACAACCGCGAACAGCACATGTTGTCCCTGAGCTCCGTAACGACATCTCTCATAAAGATTTGCGTCTTTAAATAGTCAAATAATTCTCCGAAAAACAGCTAGCCTCTTCGCTAACTAACACACAAAATACCATTGGAATGCTACTCCCGCCGCCTCACCGGAAGTTTCACCCACTTTATTTTTTACAGGAGCGCCCCCCGGAAACTTGTGGATAGGATCATCATACCTCTATGGCAACTTCAGTGACGTCACTGTATACGGTGTAGTCGAGTTTCCCCAGCGCTGCACATCTGATCTCATATACAGCTGCTCCTAGACCAGTCAGAGTAACTGTGATTTCATCCTCCGGCACAGGTTTAGATGACCAGAATGAATCCTGCTTACGTTTATACAGTATTCTGAGCGCCACTGTTTCAAGACATGATATAGGAACCTTCAGGACCACACTATCATCTTTGACCTCTTCAGTGATTGGACAGGCTGGTTTGGATGGAGGAATAAAGCAAACGGCTTCATCACATTCACTTTCATACAGCAGAATGCAGGAACCTGGATCGTTCTTCATTTCCTTTGAGGACACAATGAACTTGGCTGGTTTACGCTCTTTTGAATCGATCAATTTCTTAAATAGCTTCAAGTTGCTCCTAATGGTCTTTTGGATATCAAGAGTGAGCCAAGACTTCTGCTCTGGATCTGGGCTGTTCTCATCTGTTTCTACATTTGTTGAAGGATTCAGATGGATGGTTTGTTTATTAAGCAGAACATCTGACCAGTCCAATGATGTGAACGTGTAGCAGACCAGATTTTCAACCTCCAGATCCATCGAAATCAGATCTATGTTGTCTTCTACCTGTGCACCGGCATTCTTCAGCTGTCTGAGGACTGATTTAGTGATATTAGACTCTCTTTCTCTCTCTTTCAGCCATTCTGCCAGGTCTCGTCCTCTGAATGGAGATTTATCATGTTCTTGTAGAAGATCATTCAGGTCAGTTTCCTTCTTCACGTCTCCACGGATTTTCGGCAGCAGAGAGCCGAGTTTCTTCATGAGTCTCAGTTTGTACATGTCGCAGTTTTGCTTCATTTGCAGGATTTTATCATTGAATTCATCAGAAATCGAAGCAGATGAGTCTTCAAGAAGATCATTGCATTTCATCTCAGTTGTATTCAAACTCTCAATCACTGATTCAGTTTTAATGATTAGATCCATGCTGATGTCCTTCTGAAGTTTGGAAGCTTTTGAGAGAAGTTTGTCCAGAGGGAAAAGCCAAACTCTCAGAGGAACCGCCAGCTCTTTCTTTCCTCCCAGCAGGTTTGGAAGATCAGCAAAAACCTTCAACGCATCTTCAAAAGAGGTCGGGTTAGACGGTAACTGGAAGTCGCCATAAAACATGCATGAGAATTTTTGGACTGCGTTCTTCTGAGCGTCATTCATCTTCAGATTGCTGTTTAGGTCTACTGAGATTAATTTGAGCTTCTCAAAGGCCACTTTTGCTTCTCCTTCTACTGTCTTCATTTCCTCATCTGAAGAAACTTCTCTATCAAACACAAAGCAGGCGTCTGCTCCATACAGCACTGCTGTCACCACGTGTGTCGCTGCGTCATTATCAAACACCTCATGATGAACTATATTTTCAGGTGCCAAGTGGTTCATGCTCAGCTCTTCAATCCTGCTGGATGAATGATAATGTAGCGTCAGTCTCTGCTGTTTGAAGGACTTCTTGGTGTCCTTGAGATATTTGGCTGCTCCTGTGACATTGACGAGTCCCCCTAAAACACTCAGTTTCAGAGAGTCGTCAATGTCCAGTAAGGCTGATTTGTCCTTAATGGAGTCTGAAGCCGTGACTTTGAAATTTGTGTTAATTTGGGGACGGACTCGTAGACTCTGCTGTAGCTTTTCTTGATCCCACAGTGTGATTCCTGCAAAAGTATAAAGTGTTGAATACAGTCAAGTCAATATGTATGTCTATAAATAGGCTACAATATAAATTAAATAATCCTATGTACAAAAAAACAAATTATTAATCATCACTGCTGTTCACCGTAAAGAAAGTCTGGCTGCTGCGTGCAAAGTGCATCGTGGGTGGCTGGCCGAGAGGAGAACGCGCCTCAGTCCATCCACTGTGGACGCACTCTTCCTCCACGATGCCTATTATAAGCATATGATTATGTTTGTAGGCTAGGCCTATTTTGTTTCAAAACCCGTAACCCGCTCGCTGGTTGGCTGTTTGAGTTCTTTTTATTTATTATTGTGTGAAGATTTTTATTTAAACAGGCATGGCGTTAGCTACTTTCCTTTGAAAATAGTTGTCAACACTGCACTTGCACGCATTTCAGACGTGATACTAGACGATGGGAAAAAAAAGCAAAGAAAACTAGTCGGAAGACTAGGAAAAGGAAAAGAGAATCTGATCGCGTGAGAAACTGGACAAGAGTCCCACTCGGTTGGGCTTTTCACTCGTTGGCGCGAGCTAAAAAAGCAGCACTGGATGCAACGGTGATGCTGACCTGGTGATCTTGTTGATGGACTAGTAAGTCAATCTTTCAAAGTTTGTGTGCATTTTATTTTGTGATTTCACCGGAATGAATAGACGGCGCAACAGCAATAGATTGTAGAGCGCGTCAGAGTCGAGCCGCGGGCCGGATTCGGGCAGATAATTCATGTTGATGTGTCGGGTTACATCGGGTCCGGGCTTTAAAAGCCACGGGCCGGGTCGGGTCGGGTAATAATTTTCAGGCCCGTTGAGAACTCTACTCCTTAGGGCTCTGCACAATCTGCAGTAGCAAGTTGTTAGGCTATCTGTGAGCCTCCTTAAGATACTCCTGTAGGCTAAGTTTGGTACTCCCCTTGTTAAAGGGTCAGTATCCAGAGTGGCTTGCTCTCTAGAGCCCATATAGCAGTATTGTCTAGTGATGGGCTTTCAGCCTCCTGGATGACCTGTGTAGTGCTCCCCTCATCTAAGAGGGTTGGTATAGCTAAGTGCTTCGCTCCCTGGGGATAGTTAATGGTAGGTCTTCTGGGACCTCATTTAACAACATAATTATTTCAAGTTAAAGGACTTTCTGTAGGCCTTCTTGAAAAACTGACTTCAGTGAGCTGGTCAATTGTTCCTTTCTTCTAGAAGGTCATCATGTTCTCCACTCCTGCAGAGCTACTGTAGAGTTGGTCAGTTCTTCCCTCGTTCTAGAAGGTCATCATGTTCTCCACTCCCGCAGAGCTACTGTAGAGTTGGTCAGTTCTTCCCTCGTTCTAGAGGTCGTCATGTAGAGTTCTCCACTCCCGCAAGGCTACTGTAGAGTTGGTCAGTTCTTCCCTCGTTCTAGAGGTCGTCATGTAGAGTTCTCCACTCCCGCAAGGCTACTGTAGAGCTGGTCAGTTCTTCCCTCGTTCTAGAAGGTCATCATGTTCTCCACTCCTGCAGAGCTACTGTAGAGTTGGTCAGTTCTTCCCTCGTTCTAGAGGTCGTCATGTAGAGTTCTCCACTCCCGCAGAGCTACTGTAGAGTTGGTCAGTTCTTCCCTCGTTCTAGAGGTCGTCATGTAGAGTTCTCCACTCCCGCAAGGCTACTGTAGAGCTGGTCAGTTCTTCCCTCGTTCTAGAAGGTCATCATGTTCTCCACTCCTGCAGAGCTACTGTAGAGTTGGTCAGTTCTTCCCTCGTTCTAGAAGGTCATCATGTTCTCCACTCCCGCAGAGCTACTGTAGAGTTGGTCAGTTCTTCCCTCGTTCTAGAGGTCGTCATGTAGAGTTCTCCACTCCCGCAAGGCTACTGTAGAGTTGGTCAGTTCTTCCCTCGTTCTAGAGGTCGTCATGTAGAGTTCTCCACTCCCGCAAGGCTACTGTAGAGCTGGTCAGTTCTTCCCTCGTTCTAGAAGGTCATCATGTTCTCCACTCCTGCAGAGCTACTGTAGAGTTGGTCAGTTCTTCCCTCGTTCTAGAAGGTCATCATGTTCTCCACTCCCGCAGAGCTACTGTAGAGTTGGTCAGTTCTTCCCTCGTTCTAGAGGTCGTCATGTAGAGTTCTCCACTCCCGCAAGGCTACTGTAGAGTTGGTCAGTTCTTCCCTCGTTCTAGAAGGTCATCATGTTCTCCACTCCCGCAAGGCTACTGTAGAGTTGGTCAGTTCTTCCCTCGTTCTAGAGTAGGGTTGGGTATCGTTTGAATTTGAACGATTCTGATTCCGATTCTTTGTTTCGATTCCGGTTCCTAACGATTCTCGATTCCGATTCTTTTAAGAGGCGGGGTCAAAAAAGTTTAGCTAACCTTGCTAACCAACGGTCTTTCGGAAGGAAATACTCCTTCTGTAAAAATACTCCTTTTGTCACAAATTTTGCATTTTGCCGAGATTTCGTTATTTTTAGAAAAGTGAAGCCACACTTTGGACCGCCGACGTAAGCTACTCATGTTCGACTCGCGCGGTTATGCCAACACTTCCGGTAGACGCTTCTTCGTTAGTGTTGTTCAGCGGTTACTTCTTCCGCTCGGCAGACTGTGAATATCGAAACTAGGAATCGAAATTTTAACTTTTGAACGATTCCGGGAAAAACGAAAAGTTAGTCCCGGTTCCAATCGATACTCGATTCTCGATACCCAACCCTATTCTAGAGGTCATCATGTAGAGTTCTCCACTCCCGCAGAGCTACTGTAGAGTTGGTCAGTTCTTTCCTCGTTCTAGAGGTCGTCATGTAGAGTTCTCCACTCCTGCAAGGCTACTGTAGAGTTGGTCAGTTCTTCCCTCGTTCTAGAGGTCGTCATGTAGAGTTCTCCACTCCCGCAGAGCTACTGTAGAGTTGGTCAGTTCTTCCCTCGTTCTAGAGGTCGTCATGTAGAGTTCTCCACTCCCGCAGAGCTACTGTAGTGCTCAGCAAGTCACAAGTTACAGAGTTACTCCCCTCAGATGGAGGGTTGATATGCTAAGTTTCTGCGTTATAGTACTTCCGTCTCTGGAATCTGTTGTGAAGTGGTTACTGCCTGTTGCAATACCTTCTCATTGGAGGCCTTTGAATCTAGAGATTCTGCTTAGGCAGACAGGTTGTAGACTGACCAGGCTAGGATAGCAGGAGTCAGCTTCACTGGTGAATCTAGGGGTTTAGGCTTTAATTCACCCTGAAGTGACAGACCAGGTCTCTAAGCAAGCCTGGCCATATTTGCTAATGGAATATTTCAGTATGTAAATTATTCCAAGCCACTGAGCTCTGCCCTTGGGCCGAGTCCTACCACTTGGCTCTGCAAGGACTTTCCTTGTTTAGGGTATGTAGGTTGGTCATTGGGCGTAGGGAATAGTGTCACTGACATAACAAAGTGCGTAACTTAGGGGAATCTGACTCTGACAGTAAAAAGTCAGGAAAGTTGTCTTTTTTAGTGCTTAGTTACAGCCAATAGGACATGCATTTGTTCTTTGACAGGTATTTGTTCCCCATAGATGTAGTGCAAGTTCCAATTCAAAGGGAACGTCACGGGTAATAAATGTAACCTAGTTTCCTTAAGAAAGGGAATGAGACACTGCGTCTTGCTGCCATTTTATTGGGCTGCCTGTCACATCTCTTTCAGATGAAGAGGATGACGTGTTCCTCAGGAGCCCTTTTATACTGACGGCCACACTGATAGAGACGTCATAGGCTGTTGCCGGCCAATACAATTGTCGCTTCAGACATCTGTCACGCTGAGGCGTTCCCCATAGCATCTTCTTATATATATTTCTTTCTCAGAGAACCTCTTCTACATTTATAAGCAGTAAATGTTTTGTACCTGGTATTAGAGCATCTCTCCTGCAGTCATACAGCATCCCCAGCTGGAAGGGTCTCCCTAGAGCCGCTGTCTCGATCACATTCACTCCCACTGTAGCCATCCTACACACACAAACACACACCAGTTACTACTGATCCTGAACACCTATTTTAAGTCACTGACTAAAAGTATAAATCAGGCTTCAAAGTTTGAAGAAAAGATTAATAAAGGCTTGTCTGAAAGTGAACAGAAGTATAAATACATCTTAAAGTTTACAAGCTTGCAGACAGAACTGTTTGGTCGACTGCTTCTATACAACGTAAAAATGATTGTTTGTGATTTTAATGGTAAAAGACTGTAAAAATGCTACAGTCATTTTTTAATTATATGTAGGGTAACAACAGGGCTAAAGGCGCCTTTGATTCACTAGATCAGGGATGGCAAACTTTAGTCCTGGAGGGACATTGTCCTACAGAGTTTATAATGTATTGTTGCTACTGTAAATCTATTTTAAATAATGGGATCTGCTTCAATTCTTTCAGGATCTTTACCTTTTAAAATATATTGTAATTAACATATTTTAATGACAGAACATTTATTGAACACAAATGAATTATTTTACTTATCAAACATAAAGTTGGAAATATGAACTTTGACATCATTAAAACACATTATTCTAGCTGAGGCATGGCTAGTGTGTGTGTTTTCCCTCAGGCTGTTTCCCCCAGTGTGTCAAACATCGCCACCTCCTCATACATTTAACTTATACGATTTTGAAACAAAATGAACCACTATGAATTATTTTCACATAATATCTCTTGCTCCATCAGTGATCAATACATATTTTTTCTGCATTTGGGAACAGTAAAAGCACATTTGTCTTAAGGTGTGTCTTACAGTATTTCAGTGAGGAATCTTTGAGCCAGGGTGTAAATCTCTGAAACTAAATCTTTCATAAATGTCTGTTCGCTCACCCTTCTTCAGTGCTTCCGCATCAGCTGATGTACTAGACACTTTACCTCGTGTTTGACGACTATTTCTTTTTAAAGATAGTTTTATGATTTATTGGGGAGATTAGTTTACCTAAATCAGATTTATAAATCGCATTGGCGCCTGTAAAGCTTCAAACACTTACGTACCTGATCTGTTTTCGTGGTTGTTCTCCTCAGACTGTCTGTTTCGCTTTCAGTCACTAAAGTGCGTCTTTAACACGTGACCGCAGAAACAGATGAGGTCTGAACCTTTCTGCTTCCCGTAGTGATGATCTATAATAATAATATCTGCAAATGTAAAGTCTAGAATGATTAATGTCGAGTGTTGTTAAAGAGCAGCGTGTCTCATGATTGATGTTTCACAAATCTGTATTAAAAATAATTGTGAATAAATTTGATAAATTTCGTATTTTGGTTTAATTTTGTTTGGCCTATTTTTGAGATTCTTCTTCTTAATCTCAAAATGTTCTTTATGTTCATAATTCACGATTTATGAACTAATGGATATAGTGATATAGGCTAAGACTGTAATTATAAAGCACAATAAAAGAGTAAGTGACCCTTACACGTTTTGTCTATCAAGATAATCTTTACAAGTTAATCCAAAATGTATACACTTTGAAGCCTATATAAAGATTTAAAAAACACAATCAGACACAATAAAGTTTAAAAAAAAAACACACAAGCAGGTTATAACTGTGTGTTCTATGTCATAGATCAAAACGTGAAAATATTTAGAGGCTTTGTTCCCCTCCCCACAGACCTTATTTCAGAAGATTTAGCAAAAACCCATTCAAAAATCCCATAGACTTTAGAGCGAGGGAACCGTAGTGCTAACTCTCTTCCGCACTTTAGCCTACCAGAACAGTCAATGAAACCACTTTTGAGTCAATTGTCTAATTGCTTTTAGTCCCTTGAAAAAGAGTGGTCTACATATTAAAGAGCAGTAATTCCTAAATCTTTCCTCCAATTTGGATCCGAGTAAATACACTTAAAATATCTGAGACTGTGCACTTTAAGCCCATGTTCATTATTAAACCGTACTTTGATCATGTTTTGGTAAACAGGTAAAATACTTTTTTTTTCCAGTGTCCAAATATATACACTCACTCAGAGATCCACTGGTTGACAATCACACGTTGATCTGATTGGTTACAAGGTGGTTTGTGACGTCAGAAACACCAGCGATTTCAAAGCTTTTGTTTTTGAGACTGTCTTTGACTTAAAGCGTATTAAAAACACCACATACACACATAAACAACATTAAACGCTGGATTTACACCTACTAAACCAGATCTAACTGTTTTTAAAAATCATGATGCCACTCTTGTCAACAAACGTGATTTATTGATCTCCAATCCTGAATGAGAAGAGCACTGATTATTCTCAACAGTCTGCGTTAATAAACAACCAGTAAATATATAACTTTGAAACTGAAGCGTTACACGTGCATCGTGAGCAGGTTAGCATCCGTGAGATGCGCGGCATATACACCGAGTGCCGCCACTGTCGAGATCAGCAAAACCTGGAGATGCGTTTCTACACGTATAGGAGCCACTTGAGAACTGTTTAAAGGGCAAACACTTCCTGCAAACGTAATTCGGACAGATTTCTGGATAGTACACGAAACTATTAATAAATTAATCAGCTGAGTAGAAGGCTCCGTTAACAGTGGGCAAATGACAGACCTCGTAATTTACATAATCTCCACAGTGTGGGTGTGGCTAAGGGATATGTGGGTGTGGCCAATGGGTGATGTTACAGAGCCTGTAGTTGTGGCTAAGATCATGTGGGTGTGGCTAAGGTCACGTGGGTGTGGCTAAGGCGCCTGCGTGGTGCCCAACCCCACGGCATTAGCATACGCCGAGAGCAGGCTGACCACCTGCTTGGTTTCTAAAGTGAGCCGGGCTTCTTTGAGCCAGTCCTGCGCCACGCGCTGCGACTCGCCGCGTAGCTGGTTGATGAACTTGGCGGCTAGTTCCAGGTCTCCGCGCTCGATGCTGTACGTAGCGTAGGCGAGCAGCTTGAACGTGTCGAGATCTTCGCCCGCTAGTTTCGCCGGCGGCGCTTCTTCCACCCTCTCGAACAGAAGGACGGACTGCAGGTAGGACAGGAAGTACTGGTAAAGACTGTTGCGGGTCTCGTCGATGAGCGCCACGCGGCGCGCGAGCCGGCGGATGTCGTAGAAGCGCGCGCGGAGGCTAGCTTCGCTGTAGACGCCTCGGCTCAGAGACTCTTCGGGAATAGCGGTGGCTAACGCCTGGGCGAACTCGTTTTGCGCGCAGGTTTCTTTGATGGCGAGCACAGCGCCCTCTAGAGGCTCGGTGGGGGAGTCGGCACCGGCGGACCTCAGCGTGTAGTTCAGAGCCTCTACGGAGAGCCACAGCTGGTGAGCCTTGCGGGCCTCTTCCTCAGCAGTCACATGACCTTGGAGACAGAAGAGATCACATTAGGGTCACATGACCTTGGAGACAGCAGAGAACATATTAGGGTCACTTTATAGCCCTTAATCCTGTAATTGTGGACAAATGCGGGCACAGAGGACTCAGGTGTGATCCTAATTTTTATTTATTATAAATGTTATATCACTGTCTTCAATAAAGTTTTGTCTATCCATTTATGGTGTTTTTTTTATTTTGGGGGTATTTTTGAATTTATTTACTTCAAAAAGTACCATATTTTCTATATAAATTATGCTTATTTATGTTTTATTTATTACATTTTTTTAACTACATTAAAATATCATTCCAATAAGTTCTTAGAGCTAAAACCTAAAGATGAAGTGACTTTGCCGTCATTATTTTGGCTTATTTTAGAACGCTCTAAATTACAGTTTTTCCCATTCATTTCTATTCATTTTTGACCCAAATACAAGATTATGGTTTTTTTTTTCACCCACTTAACATTGTAGAATTGAGTCAAAAAAATGTGTGTGTGTTCAGGAGGCAAACTTAGGAAAAGTAGCCAAGTCTTGAACAGCTCAGATCAAGGGAAGTATTTTTTAAAAATAAATCAAAACTATTTTGCCCACATTTGTCCAGAATACGGTTTTAGGGTAAAAAAACAAAAAAAAAATCTGAACATTGGCCTTAGCATGGTAATGAGGAGCCATCAATGATCTTCCCAGTCATTATGTCCGTATTCATCATCATCATATCTTTATTCAGGACATACATATAAAATGGTCCATAGCACTATAAAAAAATAAAGTACATTCAAAATAAAAAAAAATAGAAAATTGTAAAAAGTGACTACACAGACAAAATTCCACAATACACAAAAAAGAGGTCAACTCTTGGCATATAGACTAAAGCGCCAGTGACTCCACAAACCCGAAGTGAACCTAACAGCACTCAATGCAGGGTTCACTAGTGTTGCGATGATGCTGTGATGTGACTCTGCTAGTCTACACACACATCTGTACATGAGATTCCTGAGTACAGCAGGACATGTGAATACATTTGACTCACACTGCCCCCTTGTGGCAATTTAAGCAGCAGCCTCAAACCATCATTATATGCCACCTTGAGTTTCTGCATACTGCTTTTATTATAGCGCCACCACAAGTCAGAGTACAAAAAGCTTTAAAAAGTGTAGTCTTCTTCACAAATAGTGAACACATATTAAATTTGTGATTCAGCATACAACATCCAATACTGTCTATGAATGTCCCTATCATCAGACAGGTCATCAGTTATATAGTGTCCTAAGTACTTGACATCGTCACACACTTTAAGTAAAGTACCAAACAGATGAAAAGCAGGAAATGAGAGTTTACTGTCCTCCCTGCTTCTAACAATCATTATATTACTCTTCTTCGAGTTGAACGTAATGTCAAAGTTCAAGCCGTTGTTACAGTGGAGGCTCCCGCTCCGCCTCCTCTCCGCCACCAGAGGGAGCCTTCACCGGAGTATTGATCATTGGCCTTGAACTCAAATTCCCATCATGCCTCTTACCTGGGACTGATTGCGCCACACACCTGCACCGCATTACACACACACATAAAAGCCACCTTCACACACACATCACTGCGAAGTCTTGATTTGCCCCGGTGATCATTTCTGAGCGTTTATTCCTGTTTCTGGTTTTGACTTTGGACTGTTTGACTATTCTACGAGTGATATCTGCCTGGCCTGATCTTGGACTGTCTTTGGATTGTGTTTATTGCTGCCTGCCCCGAACTCTGCCTGTTATCTGGATTATCCCTTCGCTCTGTCTGCCTCGTTTTGACCCTGCCTGTACGACACTGTTTAATAAAGCTGCAAATGGATTCCTCCGTGTCCCGTGAGTCATTACAGAAGACTTCGCCGCCAAATGATCCAGCAGCCGTCATGCAATTGACCACCGAACTCACATCCCAAGCTTCACGCTTAGATCTACCATCAACAGCTCAGCCACCTGACTACCCTCACTGAGCAGCTCGTACAGGGATTTCAGGAGCTTCGCACCGCTGCTGGTAGCATACCTAGCACGCCTGCTACACCACCTCCACCGAGTGTGCCTCCTGATACTGTGAGTACAGCAGTCAATCCTCGTCTCGCTTTCCCTGATAAATTTGACGGTACTCCAACTAAATGCAAGGGGTTCCTGTTACAATGTACACTCTTCGTGGAGCAACAACCAGCACTATACGCCAGTCATGGGAGTCGCATCGCTTTCGTTTGTTCCCTCCTTACCGGCAGAGCACTCGAGTGGGCTACGGCTGTCTGGAGACCAGAGGGTAATACTTTTGCTACATTTCAAGAGTTTATTCAACAGTTTCGTCAAGTATTCGAACATACCACTGAGAAAGGTGATGCAGGCGACCAACTCTTAAACCTCACTCAGGGAAAAGAAACTGCTGTTGATTATGCCCTCACGTTTCGCACGCTGGCTGCACAAACAAACTGGGTGGAGGATACTTTGAAGACTCTTTTCAGGAGAGGACTTACCAACGAGCTCCAATCCGAATTAGCCTGTCGAGATGAGGGAAAAACTTTAAACGAATATATCACTCTGGCCATTCAAGTCGACAATCTGATACGATCCAGACTTAAATCTCGGGTACCAGTTCAGTCCTCACTCATAGCCTCTATCCATTCCGAACCCATGCAACTGGGATTCACGCATATCTCTCCAGAAGAACGTGAACGTAGATTACAGCATCAGCTATGTATGTATTGCGGTCAATCCGGACACATGAAGCTCTCCTGTCCTGTTCGACCCTCCAACCGTAACCAATCGGTGAGTCCTCGAGGCAAGTCCCATAAATCTGCCACCAGCTTCACACTTCCAGTCCGCTTAACTATACACAATCAATCCATTGACACTTCTGCTTTCATTGACTCCGGAACTGCGGGAAATTTCATATCCCAGACATTTGCCAAGCAATACAACATCCAACTGAATCCATGTCCTTCTGCCCTGACAGTGGAGGTGCTAGATGGGCATCCCATTGGAGAGGGAAAAATTCAGCGCGTCACGGAGAAAGTTCAATTGCACATTGGATCTCTTCACTCAGAAAATATCCAGTTTTACGTCATTCACGCTCCACATCACTCCATCATTTTGGGACACCCCTGGCTACAAACTCACAATCCTCACATTTCTTGGAAAGAGGGGCAAATTGTTCGCTGGGGTGAGGCATGTAACAACCGTTGTCTGTCCAAAGTCCCAAATGTATGCAGTCCCAAACCATAATCAGATACTCCAGTGCCTGAGCAGGAGAACTTACCTTCTGTTTATGTGGATTTGAGTGAAGCTTTCAGCAAGGAAAAAGCTGCACAACTCCCCGAACACAGACCAACGGATTGTGCCATAGAGTTAATTCCCGGTGCCACTCCCCCCAGAGGTAGAATTTTCCCGTTGTCAACACCAGAATCTGATGCTATGAAGAAATATATAAAAGAAGAACTCGCTAAAGGTTTCATTCGACCCTCCACTTCACCAGCAGCCGCGGGGTTTTTCTTCGTAAAGTAGAAAGACGGGGGACTCAGACCCTGCATTGATTACCGAGGCTTAAATGATATCACTGTGAAATACCGCTATCCCCTACCTCTGGTTCCAGCCGCATTAGAACAACTCCGTCAGGCCAAATATTACACCAAACTCGATCTATGCAACACCTACAACTTGATTCGCATACGAGAGGGTGATGAGTGGAAAACTGCCTTTTACAACAAATTATAATCAAGAGGACATTCTTGAATTATTGATTAAACAATGTGTGTGTTCTGCTAATAATGACAGATATTAGCACAAACCTGGTTTTCAGACGTTCCAAGAGATGACGGGAAATTAACCTTTTTTCAATAAAAGAAAAAGTAAAGTTAGTTTGACTTACCATGTGTCATGATGTGGTTTTGTTTGTTTTCGTTATTAGTGATTCCCCGTCGATTATTTTTCCCAGGTGTTTCTTATTTCTCACGCCCCCTTGTTATTTTGTTTAGCTCGTTTGTCCTGGATTATTTAAGCCCTGTGTTTCTGCCCTGTCTTGGTTGGTTGTTGAATTTATTTATGTGAACGTTGGTGTTTTTGAATTCTCGAGTCCTGCTTCAAGTCTTGTATCCTGTTCCAAGTTTGTTAATAAAGCTACACTGTGTTTGGATCCAGCCTCAGCACTATTTCTCCGCACAGCGTCACAGAATGGCACTTTGATTTAGAAACTTCGGTTACACTTCACTTGAAGGGGTGTGTGTGCATAAGACTGACATGACACCTTCAGAAGTGTTACAGTATATGAAGTGTCATTCGCTTAGTTATGACATTTTTAATGCAAATATGACATTGTTTGAGATGTCTTTGTTAAGACACCTTGACATAAACCAACACATCATAACCTGTCAGTGTCTTTGTCATGACAACTTGACATTACTGAGACAACACAACCTGTCATAAATATGACATAGCAGATTAATGATCAAACTTAAGAAAGCTCTTAGCTTTATGGGTTACATTACATTAAACTGTCAGGTGGTTGGCTTTTACATTGGCTGTCATAAAGCATTATAACTGTGTCATGAATATTTTTCGTGACCTCGACGTGCGTGCACGCTCACATTATAACAGCACACATACAATAACGTACGCAATCGACGAAGCTATCTTAAAGGCGTATTAACATGTCACCAACACTTCTTAACTTGGCCGTTACATGATACCACAAAAAATAATAAAAAAATAATAATAATAATTTGAATGACCTTCAATGGAATTTTGGACCAAAATTTGGGGCTGTCATACTTAAAATTGGTGATTTTTTGTACCTTAAGCTACCCAATAAGAATTGCTATCATGCATTTTTGTGGTCCAGGGACATCCCTCTGTTGTATAGGCTAAAAAAGAGTAGCAATGGTGCCAAACAGCAGATCTTATGATACTAATTTCTGAAATTTGGTCTTGTGTGGTAATATAGATTTCTTAATTCTTAAAATATTCTTAATGTTCATAATTCACAAAATATAGAATTTCAAGATATATGATCTGAGGCCACACTGTAAGAAAAAAAATAATTGAAAAACTAAAAAAAGTATTTGTAATATTATGCCAGGACTGTAATTCTAAAACACAATAGTTTGAACACAGATTTGTGGATCATGAATTATAACACAGGCTGCTCTTTAAAAACATGCAGCACTCGATAATCATTCTAAACTTTACATTTACAGATATTAGACATCTAACTCACTTCGACTCTCTACTGCGATGAGGGAAGCAATCGCCGCGCGAGCATCCCTACGGGAAGCGGAAAGGTTCAGACTTCACATGTTTTTGCGGTCACGTGTTAAAGACACACTTTAGTGAGAGAGTAACCGAGAGTAACTGAAAGCGAAACAGTCCGAGGAGAGAACAGCCACGGAAACAGATCAGGTACGTAATAATAATACGTGTTTAGATATGTGGCTTTAAATTAAAGCAAGATTAAATTGTTAATCTTTTTATTAGGTAAACGAATTTCCCCAATAAATCATAAAACTATCTTTAAAAAGAAATAGACTTTAAACACGAGGTATCTTGTTCTACATCAGCAGATGCGGGAGATCTGAAGAGGACGACGGGTGAGCGAACAGACATTATGAAAGATTTAGTTCTGAGAGAATTACACACTCACTGAAATACTGTACATAAAGGCACACCTTAAGACAAATGTGCTTTTACTATTCCCAAATGCAGAAAAAAAAATTGAACATTGAGCAACATATTTTTTGGTAACACATTACAATAAGGTAAATAAATGTTAGTAACACATTAGTTAATGTTGAAATAGTGTACACTTTACAATATAAGGTTTATAAATTCCATTAATAAATGCTTAATTAATGGTAATTCATGTTAATAAAGAGTCTACAAATGTTAGTAACACATCAGTTAACCTTGAAATAATGTACACTTTACATTAAGGTTCACTCAATCCATTAGTAAATACTTATTTGAATGCAAGTAATGATAGTAAAGTGCATATAAACATGAACAACATATTTTTTTACATTGAAGAATTATGTTTACCAACAAATCAATGCCTTACATATGTATATATGAGTGTTGATAAGGTACACAATAGTATTTTTACATTTAGGGTAACATGGTGAGCTAGAAATGTTCACATTTATTGTGTGTCAACTACATAATCTAATGTAAATAGATTCATTAAGTTAACCTTACAAAACAGCTATTTACAGGCATTGTTCATGGTTAGTTCATGACATGTTAACTAAAGCATTAACTAATGTTAACGAATGGAACCTTATTGTAAAGTGTTACCGATTTTTGGTGAAAATAAATCATAAAAGTGGTTCTTTTTGTTTAAAATATTGTATAAATGAGGTGGCGACGTTTGTATTTTACCCCACAGACACTGGGAAAAAACAGCGTGGGGCAAAACGGGCAAAACACACACACTATTGATACAAATAATTTAGCTAAAATAGTATGTTTTTAATTATGTCCTTTGATAAATAAATTATAATATATATATATATTTTAATAAATATACTGTCATTAAAATATGTTAATAACAATATATTTAAAAAATACAGAAACTAAATTATTTTAAAGTAAAGATTCTGAAAGCATTGAAGGAGATCCCACAATAATTTAATATAGATTAACAGTATAACAATAAATAATATTTGAATTATATTATATGATTAATATCATATTTTTAAATATGATTGTTTCATTTTAAATAAGGTGGACACCCAACTTAAAGAAGAACTCCGGTCAATTTTAACATTCAGCTCATGTTTTTTTGTACATTTGGAGTGCTGTCAGTACAGACAAAAACGACAAAAATCGGTGTTGCCTACACCTTATCCTCTTTTTAAAATTCGCACCCTGTTGACTTCAAAGGGGCAAGTTCTGCTTTTAGCCTCTTAACATCCTTGATTTGTCATTACGAGTGCACAGCCTTGTGAGTGGTGTTATTAAGAGTGACCACGGTCAATCTGACTGCAGTAGATGTGAAAGATGTTAATAAAAATTATGTTAATTCAGTCAGCACACATACCTCTATTATTTACTTCCTGTTTTCGGTCGAAGCCCACAGTAGTCGATTGTCGAGTTTGCGCGCACGATCATTGCAGGTTTAGAACTTGCCCCATTGAAGTCAACAGGGTGCGAATTTTAAAAAGAGGATAACAAGGTGAAGGCAACACCGATTTTTGTTGTTTTTGTCTGTACTGACAGCACTCCAAATGTACAAAAAAAATGTCAATGTTAAAATGTTAAAAATTTTAGAGTTCTTTAAAAAGTAACTAAACACTAAACCAACTTTTTTTGGTTAATGATCTGTAAGAATGGATCTTTATTAATACCAGTCATTGATTCGAGTAACTTTTTTGACATTTGTGTATAAAGTGTTTTATATCTACAATATATGGTGTAAAAACGTCTTAGTGCTGCCCTCTTCAGGTTGAACGGTGGCTACTGCAGTTGAATTTTCCTGTTGGATGTTCCGCACTTCGTGACGTACGCAGGTTTCAGCTCACCACGCGGTATAAAAACCATCTTGTGTCTTCAAAACCACTGTAGGGAGTTAGGAGTTGGAATTGTGAGTATTGAAAACGATCAGGATAGAGGGTTTTAGCATCTATTTGGTCGCCTCTATCTCCGCTGGGGTCTGCCCACTTTTTCAGCATTTTCAAATATTGCCAGTGGGTGGAGTCAGGCTCTGACCAGGGGTTTAGTTACCCTTTAATATATTATATTTTCCGTATGAATGAAGTCCAATGACCTATGAAGTCCATTGACCATGCATGTTTAGGAAAGTGCTGCGGCAAGTTTTTGTGCGTCTAGTGAATCGGAGAAGAATAAAGTCAAAGGTACCTTTAGTCTTCTTGTTGTACCCTACATCTGGAAAGACTGAGTAAAGGAGACCAATTAAGACTAGGCTACTTTTAATCAAAGATGATGGAATGACTTTATTAGAAATCTAGAAGAAGGTTTTTAAAAAATTTGGATTTTAATAGTTGATAACTCCGGTTATGTCTGACAATAAAGAATAACGAGGAGAAAATTTAACAATGAAGTACAGAAGTAAAGATTTGGCTTTCATTTATCTTTGTGAATTTTAATTGAAATGAACACACTCCACTGTTGAATTGGAATTAGATGAAATGGAATTTATTGAATTCAGAGAAATGTAATAGGTAATGCATTTTGAAAAATAAAAAGTTCTTCCAACTGGGTCTGTACATTTATCAAATAGCCTAAATGTATGTTAAAAATGCCAGATTTGAGGTTAAATTTTACTTAAATTTACAGTGAAAAAACAAAACAAAAACATATTCATTAATTGATATAATGTTAATTTACCAACCTATTGAAGAACTTATATCTGTTTTTGTCATTGTCAAGATCATTGGAACTAACTAGTAATTACTTAAGTGTTACTAAAGACATTTTCTAAAAGTTACTAAAGTTCACCAAAAATCTCAAACATTTGCACAAATCATGATTAGATCATGTAGTAACACTTGAGTCATTACTAGTTAGTTCCAAGGATCTTCACTTTATAATACGAATCCAAATAATTAGTAATTCCCACAGAAGTATCTAGTAACACTTTCATCTGTGAGCTATTACTTACTAATTCGTTAATAAGAGTTTCTTTTAGTTAATAGTAGTTACTAGATTATTAATAAACTTTTTCAGTAGTTCTCTGGGAAGTATTAAAAAATAGTAGTTATTGATTACTTAATAGTGAACTACCACTTTCGTCTGTGCGCTATTACTTACTAGTTCGTTAATCAGAGTTTCTTGTTAGTTAATAATAGTTACTAGATTGTTAATATTGTGTTACTTATTAGTTCTTGTGTAGTTATTCATTAACGAAGGAACCGTATTCTAAAGTGTTACCAACATTTTTAGTCACTCGTTAACAAAATGTCAACAATGGAAGACTTGTCCATCAAGCCTTACATATTCGAGCCAGAGCGAGCGAGTTGATAGAGATGACGACGAACCTGCAGAACAACGTCTTCATATGGATGCAGTGGTACGTAACGTTAAAGTCCCTGTGAAGGCAATTCTACAAAAAAGTTCTAAACACATTATAAATGTTGCATATGTATTGCTAAAACATATTACAAAGACTGTGAACTGTGAAGTACTGAATTGTGCAGTTAGACCGTTAAACACTTTTTCACCATTGCAATTTTACGGATTGTTTGGGCGGGGCTAAAACAGGGCTCGATGACACACTGGAGCCCATGAGCTCCTGGACACGCCCCTATTTGATGACGCACAGAGTCTGATCTCTCCCCTAACACACAATAACACTCCCCCAGCACATTCGCATTCGCCGCTCAATCGCGAGTGACTGTCAGTACAGCTACAGCTGAGCCTACAGTTTTCTAGCTAGCGATGCCTTCAACACAGAAATGCATTGGCTACTACCTGGATGCGATCATGTACAAAACAGATCGGTATCTTCATTTAAATTCCCTAAAAACGATCACAACAAGAAGAGGTTTTTAGAGAGCCTAATGTTACCTTGATGATGAAGAGCTGAGGATCACCGCCAACACCCGCCTCTGTAGTGATCCTTTTACACTGGATAGTTTTATAAACTTTCCTCAGAGACAACTGGGATTCACTGATAATCCGCTGTTACTGGTGAACGGGGCCGAAACGACGATCTCCCGCCTCAGCGTTCATTCTCCCGTCCCGAAAGCAGTATCAGCTAATATCACTGTCGACAGCGAGCTTTCCCGCTAGTGGGCGTGGTTTCAGCGCAGCCAGCGGACACGCCCCCAGCGTTTGAGAACAGAGATAACTGCTCATTTTTTCATGATTTTGATAGCTTATTTCATGTACTTGCCGGCTTTTTTTAGTATTCAAATTTGGCTGGGTGGCTAATAACACATTTTTCTGTGGTGTGACAAACTCAGAACACATACTTAGTTTTGACTTTACAGGGACTTTAAGTTAACTATGTTGTGTTATTAGTGAAAGTCGACTATTTCTCTTGTTAAAGGGCACATATCATGCAAAATCCACTTTTTTAGCCCTTAAATGCATTTTGTTGTACATTTGGAGTGTTTATAAGTACAGAAAAGATGAAATTATTCTCTTCAGGTGCTTCGTTTATATCTTTATATTCTGTTTTGGTCATATTTTTCAACCTGTTCAGATTTTTCTGTTTTCTATGACGTTTTTTGAACAAGTGCGTCACCGTTTTTGCAGCAGAACTGACAAATAAGGACATTGACTACCGGTCCAACACTTCGACCAATCCGCCATTATTATTTCTCGCTCTGATTTTGTAGTCCGAGCTCAATGATGCAGAAGTTACGAGAGGGCAAGTCAAAATGTTCGGTTGTTGGATGTACGTTAGTGACCTGAAGCACTTAGAAGGATTCCCACTTCAACAACCTCCGCCAGTATACAGAAGGGTTTGCCGATTGACTTCGTCTGAATGAGGGGTAAATTTCTTATATCTTTGGAGACGATGAACAGAGCATTTCAATAAGCTGTAAATATCGTTAATAAAAATAAAGTACTTTACTTTCTTAAAACACATGGTGGACATGGTTTAGCAGTACCTTTGTCTTTCTTTGTTTTGGTCTTGAAGTAACGTTACACGTCTGCAGTATTATTGTTCTTGAGTTTCATCAATGGTCATTTAGCTGCGTTGTTTTCTGATGCTTTTCTAAACGCATCATATTATCAATACAGATTGTTTGTGGTAAGATTAGACTGTAGTCATTTATCTTGTCAGTGTGCTTGTTTTACAAGAGAAATAAGTTAGTCGACTTGCACTAATAACACAAAACAGTTAACTCACATACCAATACATCCATATGGTTCGGCAGGTTCATATGCAGGTTCGTCGTCGTCTTTATCAATTCGCTCGCTCTGGCTCGAATATGTAAGGCTTGATGGACAAGTCTTCTGTTGTTGACATTTTATTAACGCGGGAATAAAAATGTTCTTTGAAGGTATCGTATATAATCGTATATCTCTAATCAAACTACAATAATGGCCGAACGTGGGGAGTTGAACCGAGAGCGGGCGGGGTATGACGCATCTCCTTTTTATTTAAAGGGACCGCTTTGAAATGGGTCCCTCAAAGGGGTAGATCTCACAGTGTGCGTCTGCACCATCCTGTCTGGGTCTCCTGCACTACACTTCCCGAGATCCTCTTGCCTCACACCTGAACTCACTCCCTTATCAGTCTTCAGTTCATCAGTTCATCGTCATGTTCTTCTGTTTCACCTGTTTTCACCCCATTATGTTTGATTCCTCTGTGTATTTAGTTCGCTCTGTTTGAGTTAGTCCTGGTCGGTCAATGTCTAATGTTAGCCTGTTTTGCACCTGTATTCCTGTCTTCTCGCCTGTATTTTGTATTAAATGTGATCGTCGTTGCTAATTTGGACTCCTCTGGTTCCTCTGCCTGCACCACACCCTGACAGTAGAAAAAGGGCTTGTGGAGCTATAATAATGAGGAATTCAGACCCAAGCATTGCAGTTATGCTTTATATAGATCACAACGGTATGATTTATATGTAAAAATGAATGATTTAAAAGCATGATATGTACCCTTTAAAACAAGCACACTGACAAGATAAATGACTACGGTCCAATCTTACCACTAAAAATCTGTATTAATAATAATATGATAACTTACGTTTAGAAAAGCATCGGAAAACGCAGCAGCTAAATGATAGAAGGAATTTACCCCTCATTCAGACGAAGTCGATCGGCAAACCCTTCTGTATACTGGCGGAGGTTGTTGAAGTGGGGATCCTTGAAGTGCTTCAGGTCACTAACGTACATCCAACAACTGAACATTTTGACTTGCCCTCTCGTAACTTCTGCATCATTGAGCTCGGACTACAAAATCAGAGTGAGAAATAATAATGGCGGATTGGTCGAAGTGTTGGACCGGTAGTCGATGTCCTTATTTGTCAGTTCTGCTGCAAAAACGGTGACGCACTTGTTCAAAAAACGTCATAGAGAACAGAAAAATCTGAACAGGTTGAAAAATATGACCAAAACAGAATATAAAGATATAAACCAAGCACCTGAAGAGAATAATTTCATCTTTTCTGTACTTATAAACACTCCAAATATACAACAAAATGCATTTAAGGGCTAAAAAAGTGGATTTCGCATGATATGTGCCCTTTAAGTTCAAACTAGAATTGTAATTCTGCATCCTTTTTTCCACCTATATTCAAATTCAGCAACTGAAATATAAATCATTTTTTAATTCTATGTCTAATGTTGCAGAAGCCTGATTTATACTGGTAGTCAGTGACTTAAAGTAGGTGTTCAGGATCAGTAACTGGTGTGTGTTTGTGTGTGTAGGATGGCTACAGTGGGAGTAAATGTGATTGAGACAGCGGCTCTAGGGAGACCCTTCCAGCTGGGGATGCTGTATGACTGCAGGAAAGATGCTCTAATACCAGGTACAAAAAATGTATTGATTACAAATGTAAAAGAGGTTCCCTTAGAAGGGGAACGAGACGCTATGTCTAACAAGACGCTATGGGGAATGCCTCAGTGTGACCGATGTCTGAAATGGCAATTTTATTGGCCAGCGACAGCCTATGACGTCTCGATCAAAGTGTCTGTGAAACCCAGGGAAACTAGGTTACATTTATTACCCGAAATGTTGCTTTTGAAGTGGAACTTGCACTACATGTATGGGGAACAAATACCTACTCCACCATGCTGAGGGGAATCCATGTCCTATTGGCCGTAACTAAGCACTAAAAAAGAAAACTTTCCTGACCTCCCCAAAGTTACGCACCAGCAAGTTGTCAGTGACACTTTTCCCTACAGCCATTGACCAAGCTTCATACCCTAAACAAGGAAAGTCCTTGCAGAGCCAAGTGGTTGGACTCGGCCCAAGGGCAGATCTCAGAGGCTTGGAATCATTTACATACTGAAATATTCCTTTCCACTCATTTGCATTAAGCTTTCTATTGTTAGAAACCCAGTCATACTATTGAATAGTCGTGCAACACTCTCTCATTTTCCCCTGAGACGAGAGAAATCTGCTATTTACCCTTTTTACTTCCTCCTACAATGATGCAAAAATTATCATTTTACGCCATTGTAAGAGGAAGTGTAAGAGGGGGGGATTTCTTTAAAAACTACAAGCACTAGCTCCCACCCTTTCAAACCCGCCCATAGGGGGTTGGGTCTAATCCGTTAACGGACCTATCACAGATCAGTGCCAGTGCGTGATGTCCTAAGGAGCAATGGTGAGTCCTAAGGAGCAAAGTACTCTATCAAATGATGTTCTAATTGAAGGGACTACTAGCTAATTCAATAGACTTAACCTATCAGGGCAGCTTACAGAGAGCCTTAAAAATTGATACAAAAGGACACAGAGTTCTAATGAGTACTTAGTATAATGGCCCTTCTCAGGAAAGGGCAGCATAAACCAAGTTCAACCTAAGAGAGCTCAGCTGGAAAAGGGGGTCTCTGATGGGTAGAGGCCTCAACAGGATGACTAGCACAAGAGGAGGCCTTACTACATATTATACTAGATACAGCCGTACCAAGAACAGAGCTCTCAGAGAATCATGCCACTGGACAAAGCTACCCAGCCGGAGGTCAGGGATTGCAGAATTCTGCAGGAAGACTCTCTTAACGAGAGAAGGTAATACTACAGTACATCATGCTAAGGCTACTTAACGAAGAGGCTCAGAGAGAACCATGCCACTCGATATTGCCAAGATAAAGAGAGCAGAGCGCTCTGAAGCGCTTTGCTGTGAGCCACTGTGCAGCTGGTGTACCACATGCACATGCAGTATGTCAGCACGCTCTATATGGAGGCTTGGTAGAAGGACACGAGCAACCTCTGTGTGATGTTGTTACTCCTAAGTACTCTTAGGAAATAAAGTCTCTGCTGGACCTTTTTAGCAGCTCAGAGGTGTTCTTGCTCCAGGATAAACCCACCCGCTACACACAGTTCCCGTTGATGATTAGTGGTTGAATGATTGTTTTCTTTTTCCTGTAGTCTAAAATGAGCTCCTTGGTCTTTGCGGTGTTCAGAAGCAGGTTGTTATTGCTGCACCACACTGTCAGCCGCTCCACCTTCTTCCTGTAGGCAGACTCGTTCCCCCCAGAGATGAGCCCCACAACTGTGGTGTCATCAGCAAATTTCACCGTGGTGTTGCTGTGGTGGGTGGGGGTACAGTCATATGTATAAAGGGAGTAGAGCAGGGGGCTTTGCACACAGCCCGCCATCAGGCCTTGTAGCCATCCTCGGGTTGATGGCCCGCAGTGTGCGCCTCACATCATGCTCCTCCACTGTAAAACTTAAGCTGCTGTGGGCTGTGAGGTGTGAGCTGGGTGTGGCTGTCTCTGGTGATGGTTAAACTCCTCCGCCAACGAGATGTCACCTTCAACAGCTCTGAGGTTGGCCCTGTAGTTGGTCAGATGCTGGACTCCCTTCCACATCTGCCTGCTGTTGTTACTGCCCAGGTGTTCCTCAATCCTCCTCCTGTAGTTTGATTTGGTCTCTCTGATGCCTCTCTTTAGGTTAGATCGGGCCTTTCTGAAGAGAGCCCTCTCTCTGGACCTAAAGGCGATGTTCCTCTCCTTTACAAGCTGCTGGACATCCCGGGTCATCCATGGCTTCTGGTTGGAGTAGATCCGGATCCATTGTCCACTGTGACAGTGTCTATTCAATTCCTAATGTAGCATACTACACTGTCCGTGAACACCTCCAGGTCCTGATGTTCAAAGACCCCCCAGTTGGTTGTATCAAAGCAGTCCTGCAGCTGCTGAGAGGCACCCTCAGGCCATGTTGCAACAGCAGTAGCGGATTGTCAATCGGGAGAGTCAGGAGTTTTCCCGGTGGGCCGGTAGTGTTTCGAGGCCGCGAGGGCCGGTCTGATAAAATGTATTTATTGGAAGTTCGCCATGTGCACTTGGGGCCAAAGCTAAGGGAAGAAAACATTTTTATTTTATTTTTTTAACATTTTCTATAACGGAGCACATATTTGCACTAAGTGCCTGTCTTTACAGCAAAAAGACGCCCGTCTTGTAACAACTTCAGTGGCGTAGGTCGTAGGGCGTGAAGTGCTTGAAAGCAGCTTTTGATCCCCTGAACGCGAGTTCGAATCCGCCTTTTGCCGAACTCTCTCTTCTCCCTTTTCCCAACACATATGTAAAGATGTAAAATGTAAAACCTAACATTAAGGTCTCTAGCGTTATATTTTGCCAACGAACTAAAATTGAAACCATGATATGGCGTTGCGCCATTATAATAACTGACATTAGAATAGAATCCAGTTTGAATCCAGAATCCAGACATTAGAATCCAGATTACTTTGCTCACGCGATCATCATGGTCATCTGGTGTTTTCTCCTAAATAAAAGCTCAAGGGTTTATTTCTTGCAAGTGAAGAAATTAGGACACAAGTATTTTAATTTTCCTATATTATAGTGTAATGTAGGTTAAAATATACTTTTGAAATACTCATTTTCATTTACATAGTACATTTATAGGCTAAATGGATTTTACAGTACGTCATAGGAATAATTATAAATCATTATTACATTATTATAATAATTGTTTGGCATCCTAAAACACCATTGATAATGTAATGTAGACTGAGACTCTCATAACTAAAAAGATGTTTGAGCCCTCTTTTTTGTCCTGGTACATTAATACTTTTTATTTTTTCAACGAGCAGTTCAGGGGTTGAAGTTCTTAATTGTGATCTCTCAGAGAGCACAAGATTGATGCATTTAACCTTAAAATGTTAGGTTAAGGCACAGGTTAAGGCACCCTAGAGGCACAGATTACTATGGGAAAGAACGACCATTTATGAACTTTACTCCAGCATAGTACAACAAAGTTCCTTTTAAATCAGTAAAACTGTAAATGCTATCGGCTATTAAAATCGTGCCGGCGACGAGGGCCGGTGGTCTACGAAATTTCCTGGTAGATTTTTTGGTCCCACTCCGCCCCTGTGCAACAGTCTTACTGATAATGGGGTCTGTTTTCCTGCTTGGGTTATATGCAGGGATCAAAAGTAGGGCCAAATGGTCTGACTGACCCAGATTAATGGTCTAGCCCTGTAGCCTTATTTGATGTTAGAATAGACCTTATCCAGTGTATTGCACTTTACATGTTGATACAATTTAGGGAGTACTGCCTTTAGGTCCGTATGATTAAAATCCCCTGCTATAATCTGGACAGTGTCGGGATATATGCTCTGTTGACCGCTAATGTTCTCATGCAGAAGTCCTGATTTAACGTTAGCGTCCGGTGGGCAGAAATTATCATGATCACGGTGAACTCTCTTGGGAGGTAAAAGAGCCTGCATGTAACAGTCACATACTCCAAGTCTGGGGAGAAGTGTCTGTCTACAATTACTGTGTTTGTTGTTCACATATACACATAGTCCCCCACCTCTGCTCTTACCCGAATCTGTTGTTCTGTCATGACACTGGGTTGAGTAGCCTGCTATTGCAATAACAGAGTCTGGGATGGATGAACAAAGCCAGGTCTCCATAATTGGCAGAATGCAACTGTTTTTCACAGTGTTGTTTACTGCAATCTGTTGGTACAATTCATCCATTTTATTTGCAAGGGATCCGGCGTTTGTGAGGAACAGGCAGCGGAGCGGTGTTTTGAATGGCTGCCTCCGTAGCCCAGCTAGCGCGCTGGCCCTACAGCCTCGTTTTTGCCTCCTCTCTCTGCACCGCCTTCGCCTCCTTATGAGAATTATTAAATTCATAATTCTCTAGAATGAGAGGAGGCATGACTACACTACTCTTAAGGAAGCTGTCCTATTAGGGGGCTTGCTAAATTACTAAATCAGGGGGCCTATTATTCTTATTCTTCTTATTCTTATTCAGAGGAGGAGGACGTGAGTGGTCCTGTCTTAGATCGTGAGCACAAGTTGGCCAACAGTGTATGAATGTTTTAAAAGCTGCCCACCAACTTCTTCTCCTCCTTACACTTATCGACCATCGCCTCAATGGATGTGTTAAAATGTTCAGAAGGCGAAACCAGTGCATCAGGGTGAAAGCCCTTCTCTGTCTCCCTGATGCTAGCCAGGTTCATCCTGACTCTGGTCCAGGTCCCTCAGCAGATCTGCTTGCTATGCTTGCAGCACATATGCCCTGCCATTTAAGCGATGTTGTTCCTAGGGGCTTAGATAGCAGGGTCAGAGCCTTCAGTGACGAGGTTTCCCCCTTTGAGAGATAGCTCACAAGCGTCTGTTCAATGGGAAGCATCGGCATGTATCAGTGCTCACGCATCCCCTCGATATGGTTAAATGCGGTTTCTTCCATTCTTTCTCATTCCCCATGGGGTCTTGTCAGACACAGTGCGAGTTTCCATTTCGAAAGGGAACATAAATACTAAATTTTACTTACAAAATATCCACCCTGATAAATTATAAATTTAAGGATGACTCTAGTCTGTGATGCTGTTGGGTATGGTAGGGCACACGTTTTGTTGATCAAATCATTTGCAGCAGTGAATAAATGCTGTGAACAAATATTAATGATTATCAAATAATTAGACTTCATAGGTTTTTCTGCACATCAATTACTCCATTGCTGTAATTGGAAAGATCAATTATGTAGACTCATATTTCAAAGGAGATTGATCATGCATTCTCCAGTGTCTATTGGTAGGGAAAGTGACCATGATAAGCATGTACCAAATACATGCTTTTGAAAATATAAACAAATTCATTTTTGTTTTTTGTTTACAACAGATGCACATAGCCCTACACTGGGATCCTTATTGTGTTTATAGACATAAATATTGACTCGACTGTATTCAACACTTTATACTTTTGCAGGAATCACACTGTGGGATCAAGAAAAGCTACAGCAGAGTCTACGAGTCCGTCCCCAAATTAACACAAATTTCAAAGTCACGGCTTCGGACTCCATTAAGGACAAATCAAGCTTACTGAACATTGACGGCTCTCTGAAACTGAGTGTTTTAGGTGGACTCGTCAATGTCACAGGAGCAGCCAAATATCTCAACGACACCAAGAAGTCCTTCAAACAGCAGAGACTGTCGCTACATTATCATTCAACCAGCAGGTTTGAAGAGCTGAGCATGAACCACTTGGCACCTGAAAACATAGTTCATCATGAGGTGTTTGATAATGACGCAGCGACACACGTGGTGACAGCAGTGCTGTATGGAGCAGACGCCTGCTTTGTGTTTGATAGAGAAGTTTCTTCAGATGAGGAAATAAAGACAGTAGAAGGAGAAGCAAAAGTGGCCTTTGAGAAGCTCAAATTAATTTCAGTAGGCGTAAATAGCAATCTGAAGATGAATGATGCTCAGAAGAACGCAGTCCAAAAATTCACATGCACGTTTTATGGTGACTTCCAGTTACCATCTAACCCGACCTCTTTTGAAGATGCGTTGAAGGTTTTCGCTGATCTTCCAAACCTGCTGGGAGAAAAGAAAGAGCTGGCAGTTCCTCTGAGAGTTTGGCTTTTTCCTCTGGACAAACTTCTCTCAAAAGCTTCCAAACTTCAGAAGGACATCAGCATGAATCTAATCATTAAAACTGAATCAGTGATTGGGAATTTGAATACAACTGAGATGAAATGCAATGATCTTCTGGAAGACTCCCCTTCTTCAAATTTTGCTGCATTTCATGATAAAATCCTGCAAATGAAGCAAAACTGTGACATGTACAAACTGAGACTCATGGAGAAACTCGGCTCTCTGCTGCCAAACATCCGTGGAGACGTGAAGAAGGAAACTGACCTGAATGATCTTCTACAAGAACATGATGGATCTCCATTCAGAGGACGAGACCTTGCAGAATGGCTGAAAGAGAGAGAAAGAGAGTCTAATAACATTAAATCAGTCCTCAGACAGCTGAAGAATGCCGGTGCACAGGTAGAAGACAACATAGATCTGATTTCGATGGATCTGGAGGTTGGAAATCTGTTCTGCTACACGTTCACATCATTGGACTGGTCAGATGTTCTTCTTGATAAACAAACCATCTATCTGAATCCTTCAACAAATGTAGAAACTGATGAGAACAGCCCAGATCCAGAGCAGAAGTCTTGGCTCACTCCGGAGATCCAAAAGACTCTGAGGAGCAACTTGAAGATATTTAAGAACTTGATTGATTCAAAAGAGCGTAAACCAGCCAAGTTCATTGTGTCCTCAAAGGAAATGAAGAACAATCCAGGTTCCTGCATTCTGCTGTATGAAAGTGAATGTGATGAAGCCGTTTGCTTTATTCCTCCGTCCAAACCAGCCTGTCCAATCACTGAAGAGGTCAAAGATGATAGTGTGGTCCTGAAGGTTCCTCCATCATGTCCTGAAACAGTGGAGCTCAGAATACTGTACAAACGGAGGCAGGATTCATTCTGGTCATCTAAACCTGTGCCAAAGGATGAAAACACAGTTACTCTGACTGATCTGAGAGAAGAAACCGAGTATGAGATCAGATGTGCAGTGCTGGGGAAACTCGACTACACCGTATACAGTGACGTCACTGAAGTTGTCACAGAGGTATGATGATCCTATATTAGCTGAAGAAAAAATACATGAGAAGCTTTAGAAGAATGAGTAATTGGTAACATGTTATCTTGATTAATTCGTATAAAATGTTTCCTCTAGGAACGGGGCAGTTTGATTGTTGGTGAGTGATATATTTTTCCTGCTCCATCATTTGTTTGAAACACTTTGTTGTGTTGTGGTTCATATTTGAGGCTGTGAATAACAACATCAGTTGTATTTGTGTTGCTAAATTTGTTATTACATGGTGTGTGTGTGTGTGTGTGTGTAAATGAATATGCTTGGACTTGGTGCTGGAAACCCAATGCACAGGACAATAGAGATACCAGAATAACGTCTCGGGTTATGACTATAACCCTTGTTCCCTGAGAAGGGAACGAGACACTGCGTCGATAAAATCGACTCTTTGGGGACGCTCCCTAAGCGTGCGCCTCTGAAGTATGAATGAAACTAATCCAATCCTGATTGGTGTTGCGTCGTGACGTAACATGTGACGGCATACCCGGAAGTATAAAAGTGACGCTGTCACAACACACGCTAGCCTCACGATGAAGCAAGACGCTCTAAGGCCTAAAGGGGGCGTGGCAGAACGACGCAGTGTTGAGTTCCCTCGATAGGGAACGTCTCGGGTTATGACTATAACCCTTGTTCCCTGAGAAGGATAAAATCGACTCTTTGGGGAACGAGTGCCCACTAGGCCACGCACCGAACAGACCCGCCCCAGAGTGAAACTGGTAAGGCACTCAGCAAGGACTGAGCACGTGTGCACCGGGCGTACTAGGAAGGTTGAGACTATAAAACCTGATGAAAGTATGTGGGGTAACCCAGCCGGCTGCCTCACAGATCTCCTGTAGAGGTACTCCCGAAAGAAGGGCCCTAGGGCGAGCCATGCCTCTAGTTGAGTGAGCCCTTAAGGCCAAAGATGAAGGCAACCCGCGCACCTTGTAAGCCTCAGTAATAGCCTGGACAATCCAGTTACTTATAGTCTGTTTGGTCGCCGGGAGCCCCCTCTTAGGTGACCCAAAGCATACTAACAACTGGTCCGATCTTCTCCAAGAAGCGGACCTTTCCAGGTATGAGCTCTGACGGGTCAGAGTAAGTGAAGCCTCTCTTCTTCCGCCGACACATGAAGTGGAGGATGGAATGCCTGAAGGACTATAGAGCGAGCCGTATTCGAAGGAACTTTAGACATGTGGCCTGGACTCGGGTGCAAAAAGGCCTTTACTCTACCAGGGGCAAACTCCAAGCAAGCTGGCGTTACCGCCAGGGCCTGGAGATCTCCCACCCTCTTAAGAGAGGTAATAGTTAAAAGAAAGACAATTTTTAGTGTTAAGTCCTTAGGCGAAGCCGACTCCAAAGGTTCGAAGGGAGCCAGGGATAACCCTTCCAGAACTATTGCCAGGTCCCAGGCAGGAACCCTGGACCTGGTCGCCGGCCTCATCCTCCAAGCACCACGGAGAAACCGAATGACCAACTGGTGCCTCCCCAGAGGTCCACCATCTACTGGCGCGTGGAAAGCCGAAATGGCAGCCACGTACACCTTAAGAGTGGACGGGGAGAGACCCGCAGAGAAACGATCCTGAAGGAATTCCAGAACTGAAGCCACCGGGCAGTTTACTGGATCCAACGTCTGTTCTCTACACCAAGTGAGAAACACATTCCACTTGAGGCCATATAATCTCCTGGTAGATGGAGCCCTAGAGCTAAGTATGGTTTCAACCACCTCAGCTGATAAGCCAGCATTCAGGTACTGAACCCCCTCAGAGGCCAGACCCACAGCTTCCACAGCTCTGGGCGAGGGTGGAAGATTGTGCCCTCCGCCTGAGACAACAGATCCCTCCTCAGATGAATCTGCCACTGCGGAGCTATAAGTGATATTATGTCTGAGAACTAGGGGTGGGCGATATGACCAAAATTGTGTTTCACGATATGACTAATTTTATTTCACGGTAACGATATATTTCACGATATAGTTATTTATATAGTTATCCTAAAAAAAAAAAAATCGACAAAAAGGGCTTTGTATAATAAATAAACCCAAATACTTTAGAAATGAAAAGTATGTCACCTTGTTTTATTTTTATTTTATTTGGTAAATTATTTATTTGGTAAACTACTTTTTATATCAAAATATAGTAAACAAAAAACACTCCCACAACTCATAGGTGCATTTCAACTTTAAATAATTTTTCAATCTCATGCATTGCTTTACTTCATCAATCAGTTTATAATATATACAGTGTTGGGGAAGCTACTCTAAAACTGTAGTTTGACAAGCTACAAGCTACTCGTACGTTAAAGTAGTTAAACTACAGTCAAGCTACCCTTTTGGAAAAGTAGTTAGCTACACTACAAGTTACTATCAAAAAGTAGCTAGCTACATTGAAACTACTTTTACTTTTTGAACAACATATTATAAATATTATATTACCTATTATTATAAGATGTTATAAATCATATATTTTAAATAACTGAATAAGTGTCTGATGAATGTTTTAATTCAAATATTTAGTGTTTAAAACAATGCAATACAATTATGATTTCATAGAGTATTGTTTTATTACACACAACACTCAAATATCTCAGACTGTTTGTCAAAAGTTCAAAATTGCAACAAATAGCCTACAACATTGCAAGAACGAAATATACATTCAACATAAATTGCATTTAGAACATTTTCTCACAAATAACGATTGAACTTGGACAAATAAGACCATGGGTAATTAACGTTTGTTTCTCTGTCCTCAAAATCTGCCGTCACCCTAATATGGGTGTGTCACTGTCAACCCACTTCTTTACGTCAGTGAACCGTTAGCCGCAAGATGCGTGATTAAACAACAGGTGGCGGTAATGGCAAAAAATGAGTTTGTAATCTAACAAGAAGAAGAATATCCTTGCATCGCACTGATTCGCGCAGGCTCGACAATGTAGCAATGTAGCTTTTGCTCGAGCTACACCGCTACTTGCTGCAAAAAGTAGTTAGCTACTGGAAAAGCTACACTGTTTAAAAAGCAACTGAGCTACTGCCAAGCTACTGAAAAATGTAGTTAAGTTAGTAGCTTCGCTACTTGTAGTTAACTACTCCCCAACACTGAATATATATAATATAATTATAATATTTTTTTACCACATGTGCTTATTATACTGCGTTTTTAACGGAGAAGGGTATTCCTGCACAACCGGAGACTGCACACACTGTTGTTTCAACGGGCTTGTTTTGCTCTTTTTGTTATATCTGGCAACCCGTCAGTTCAGAAGTGACAAGAAGGATAGCAGCAATATGAAAACCAAACCGCTGCTACTGTTAGTGTTGACTAAGTAGTTTAAATTATACACACCTTATAACAGTGCGTCGAACACCGCGCGCTCCCTCTTAGTGCATGTGCACGCGCGCGTCTTTTACATCAACAAAATGCGATCGATTAGAGTGAAGTTGTAATCACGGATCGAATCAAAGGAAGATTTTATCAACTGGTTCAGTTGGAAATTGTTTGGAGTTAAAACATATATAACTCGCGCTGCATATTAGTAATTTTGCCTCAGAAACAGGATTATACATTCGTTTTAAAAAGCAGGATGTTCATTCATGTTGAATGCGATTTTCATGTTTAAAAAGTAACTATACATAAGAGAAGGAAAGATGCGGATAACTATACATTATTTAAGGTTATTTCTCGTAATGATATTGATATAGCCTATGAAACGTTGTTATCAAGTAACTTCATGCTTTCCCCGTTGCGAACGTGCACTCCTCTAAACTGTAGCCTGGGTGCTGCTGCTCTGCTGAAGTTGACGGCTGCCTTTCCCCCCCCGAACATATCACGTTAACAACAACCCTTTAGAAAATGTAATTCCTTTGTGGATCCTCTTGATCTGCTTTCTCCATGTTTCTTTGACAAATCTCAGCATCAGTCTCACGCGCGCTGCACGGGAGTTAACCACGCCCCCTTATTTGCATTTCGCGGTATACACGGAATAAAAAAATCTGTTACGACTGATGTTTTCTATCGCGGTAACGATATATATCGCCATATCGCCCAGCCCTACTGAGAACCATACTCGTGTCGGCCATCTCGGGGCAACCAGAAGTAGACTGATGCCCTCCTGACGGACCCTCTCCAGGACTCCCGGGATCAGAGCGATCAGGGGAAATGTGTACAGACGAAGCCTCGGCCAAGCCTGTACCATGGCATCCAACCCCAGTGGGGCTGGATGTGAGAGGGAGAACCAAAGCGGACAGTGGGACGTCTCTTGAGACGCAAACAGATCCACTTCCATTGGCCGGAAACCTCTCCCATATCGACTTCTCCATTTCCCGGGGCTCAGCCCCTGCCTCGACAGGATGTCTGCTCCCTGATTCTGAACCCCTGGAATATACATTGCCCTTATTGACAGTATCTTCCCCTGGGACCAAAGGATAATTTGATGCGGCAGTTTGCACAGAGGGCGCGATCTGAGTCCCCCTTGTCGGTTCAGATAGGCCACCACTGACGTATTGTCTGTCCGTATTAAGACTGGCGACCCTTGATGTCTGTGAGAAAGCTCCTCAAAGCCCTGAACACAGCCATCATCTCCAGGCAATTTATAGTGCGATGATGGTCCTGCCACAGACCCCTGGCAAAGCGGCCGTCGATGACCGCGCCCCAGCCAGTAAGGGAGGCGTCTGTCGAAACGGTTTCCCGGCGACATGACACCCCCAACACTGGCCCTTGGGATAGGAACCAAGGTTTCTTCCATATTTGCAGAGAATGAAGGCACCTGCGCGTTACTCTGATCATACGAAACGGATTCCCTTTGGGGGAGAACCCCTTGGTTTTCAACCACCACTGAAGGGGCCTCATGTGAAGGAGGCCCAGAGGAATAATGTTGGATGCCACTGCCATGAGGCCCAGCATTCTTTGAAAGTGTTTCACAGTGATGGCTTGGCCTAGCTTCACCCTGGATACCATCGCCAGAATTGACTCGATACGTGTGGGAGACATACGTGCCTGCATTGTAGTCGAGTTCCACATGACTTCCAAAAAAGTCGTAACCTGGGACGGTTCTAGCACACTCTTCTTCAAATTAAGTCTTAATCCCAATTTTTGAATATGGCCAAGAACGACATCTCGATGCCGAACTGCC